CCTGGTTATCGTTGAAGTATATATTATACAAATGGTCAGGAAGAATATTTTTCCGGAAGGATTCTATATTGGTTTACAAAGAAGATACCAAAAGTGTGAACAAGCTTAAAACACTCTAGGCTTTTTTTATTCAGTTTCTGTTTCACCGACAAAATATGTACAATTAAGTCCTAAAATTTGGTTAAGAAAGTAATGAAATAAAATATTAATGTATTTTTTTAAATGTGCTAATTATTTAAAAATTGGGTGTTAATTTTATATATACTAGTAGAAAGCCCGTCAAAAATGACGGGGGATGAGATTTTTATTCATTTTTTACGATAGATGTCATGCTAGGTTCAAGCTCACAATATTAGGAAGCATCCAAGATCTTATAATTTTAAAAATGTTTATCAAGCCCAGCTCATCCCTTGATAATTTGTAAAAGATATTCCCAAGTCAGGTGCAAGCTAATATTAATTTTGAGGTTCCAAGCCCAGTCCTACCCATTATAATTTTGTTTGAAAATTTTTTCCCGCCTCGGAGATAGTTAAATTTTTAATATCATCACATGAACGGGAAATATCTGATTTACCAATTAGTCTAATATGGAAAAAAAACATGTAAATTCTGTATTAAGGGAAACTGGGAAGGCCTGGGCAACCACTTATTAGAGAATCATAACAAATAAAATAAAAATAACCGACTCTTATACTTTTTTGTAATATGATCAATCAAAATTATTTCTAAAAAATATGTTGTTTATTATATAGGGTTATTGTTGTTTTTCAGATAAATTTAATGTATGTCTTGCATTTCTGAAATTATTTGCCAAAGAATTTGATAAGGGATATATATTTTTTTATGTTAAGTAAAAAAAAAAATGCTCTCTATTTAAATTACAAAAATGCTATTAAACACTAATGAAACTTATATGCAAATTATTTATATATTTTTTAAGATATTTTTTTTATTGACATATAAATTTTGGATAATATTTTTAAAAAATAATAAGGATTATTTATTATGTATTTGATAAAATTAAGAGCAAATCCTTGTTGACATTTTAATTTTTGATGGAAAAAGCGACAAAATAAATCTGGGCGGTCATCTGGAGAGGAAATAATTAATGTATAATTTTATATCATTTAGGGTTGTAGATGAAAGGACGGATTAACACAGTGTACAAAACACATTACGTCCTGATAAAGATGATATGCCTATGCCTTGGGATACTGGTAAAAGAAGAACGCAAAACGATATTTCTGTCAATGTCAGCATTGGTATCCCCCTTTAAAATAGAATCATGAACGACAATGTTAACTCAACCATAAAACGGTCGTAAGTATTGTTATAAAGGCCACGACAGAACTACTGCATATATTTCCATTAATAAAGTTGATTAAATTGGCCGTACTGTACATTCAAGTTTGAACACGCAAAACGATATTTCTGTCAATGTCAGCATTGGTATCCCCTTCTAAAATATAATCATGAACGACAATGTTAACTCAACCATAAAACGGTTGTAAGTATTGTTTTAAAGGTCACGACAGAACTACTGCATATTTTTCCATTAATAAAGTTGATGAAATTGGCCGTACTGTACATTCAAGTTTGAACATTCCTCTAAATATTCATGAAAGTTTCTCAGAGAATCGGATAAAGTAATATTTATATTAACTCCTAGTAAAGTGAATGATAATACAGAATTAAATGTTTTGTTAAAAAATAGGCGGAGGCATAGGGATTGTGGTAGTGGTGATAGTATAATTTGAAAAAACTATGTGGAAATAAAATAAACATAGATATAAAATATAAGATTTAAAAAAAACAAAATAAACCTCCAGATGAGTTTATTTCAAGCGTAGTTCTTTATTATTTTGTCTAACAGTAACTCTAGAACGTGTAAGGCGTTTGTTTAATCGTCATTATTTTCTTTGCTTATATTTAATAATAGATTCATCATGTTTTGTAGCAATGTGAGGGATTAGGGTTAGCCTAGACAAATAATGAAATCAGGCAAAAATATAAATAAACAAACATTAAAATAATGTAAAACCGGTAAATGGGTCAATATTAGATGCATATTTCTAGTAGTTGGAGGGCTATCATCAAAAAAAATTTTGGGGGACTTATCAAGCCTATTATGATATTCTAAAAGTTAAAAAATAATATGATGTATGTAATGTTATTAAGGTTAATTAATTAGGTAATAAAAAAATAAGATTAAAAAAGGGGGGAAAAAAGAAGGTATAAATTATTATATTATAAAAATAATAAAAATTAAATTTAAGGAATTGATAAGGTTTTGAGAAATAGTGGTTAATAGATAATAGAAATAGAAAGAAAATAATGAGATAATAAAATTTAGTGATAAACAAATTCATTAAGGGAAGGGAAAAAATAAAGAAAGAGTTATTTATAAGGATTGGAGATTATAAATAGGTTAGGATAAGAATATTTAAATATACTTGGGTATCTTCTTAATTATTGGTTATGAAAGAAAAATATGAGTATAAAAAATTGTAATGTACTGACAAAAATTGTAAGTATGTTCAAAATAAATATACAAGTTGAGTATCTTGTAGAGATTTCATTAATGTTTAATTGATAATATGAGATGAAAATTGATAAGGTAATCTAAAAAATAAAGAAAGGATTAGGTGAAATAAAAAGTTTCATTCATATTTACAAAGTTGAGGGAATATTATTTTTAACAATTCAAAGACGATTTTTCAAATCTCTCAATCCATGTTATGTATGATCAATTCTGGAAATTCCATTAATCTGTTTGTATAAAATAAATAAATAAAATCAACAAATAAAATAAATAAAAATAAATACGTACCGATGACATGACGTAGCGATGACATGACGTAGCGATGACATGACGTAGTGATGACATGACGTAGCGATGACATGACGTAGCGATGACATGACGTAGCGATGACATGACGTTACGATGACATAGTGAGGACATCGGAAAATTATAATATAGAGTAATGTAAGTACTGACAAAAATTGTGAGTATGTTCAAAATAAATATACAAGTTGAGTATCTTGCAGAGATTTCATTAATTAGTAATTGATAATATGAGATGAAAATTGATAAGGTAATCTAAAAAATAAAGAAATGATTAAGTGAAATAAAAAGTTTCATTCATATTTACAGAGTTGAGGGAATATTGTTTTTATCAATTCAAAGACGATTTTTCAAATCTCTCAATCCATGTTAGGTATGTGTACACCATCAATTCTCGAAATTCCATTAATCTGTTTGTATAAAATAAATAAATAAAATCAACAAATAAAAAAAAAATAAATACGTACCGATGACATGACGTAGCGATGACATGACGTAGCGATGACATGACGTAGCGATGACATGACGTGGCGATGACATGACGTCATGATGACGTAGTGAGGACATCGGAAAATTATAATATAGATAGGGTGCGAAACTAATTTATATTTCGGCTAATTTTCAAAAAGAGGTACTTTAGCACTAGCTTTTATCTAGTGACCCCCATATTGTCCAGCCTCTCTAGGAAATTAATTTGATAGGCCCTGCCTGTTATAGGTTATTTAAAAAAAATCACAGGCCAGCCCGACACGTTATATATTTAAATTAAAATTTGTTTAGCCCGGCCAGTAAAAATTTTACGAACCTTTATCCTGCCCATTATAGTTTTACGAAATGTTAGCCTTAGGGGGTAAATATTTTGATAAGAACTTGCAGGCTATTATCTTTTTAATATATATTTTTCTCCAAATGTCAATTAAGGAGGCACTTATATCAACCTCTATGACCATATTTCTACAACACCAGCATCATGTTTGATAACTGCTTTGTGCATTTTTAACTTAATCATCTCATAAATAACTTGTTTAATTTTTAGTGAAAATTAGTATATTATTTAAAGATTTGGTATTTTAGTTACAGCTATTAAAACACAAGAAATAAATATATTGTAATTTATTTCCAAATAGTATCAATCAAAGTATTAGCTTGAAATTCAATAAAATATATAAAAATTAAATGCCTGAGTGGCCTAATAAGATTTATAAAAAATCAGAGATTTCCAAAACCTTACCTATATTTGAATAAATTGTCCACCCAGGCACAAAATATTTAACGATGCCGAGGGATTCAAACTTAATGTAAACGTAATCTGTAAACCGAAATTGACAGTTTTTATTTACCACCCAAACCCGAATCTGAACCGTTAAAAAATATGTCACCTGAACCAACACCGAACCTCTAAAAATGCTTACTATTTTAACCTTTTGATTTTTTAAACTCTTTTAATTATTAATAATCAGTTTTGACTGATAAATATCAAATATTTTTAGATATTTTTTTGTATATTGTTATTTGACGGTTAGGCTATCAAAATTTCAGTCATAAAATTTATTCTTCCTCCTTATCGCTATAATTTGACAGAAGAGAAGATAATCTTAAAAATATTTTAATTGTATAGCTCAATAATTTTTATAAGAATAGTAGTAAAATTTTTAAAAATGTTTTTTTCTTTACATAATTTAGGCTAAAAGTTTTAGAAGGTTATAAATTCAAACCGAATTGATATTGTTATTTTTATGAACCAAATAGTAATCCCGAAGAGTTATTTTTATCTAACTAAACCGACTTTGGTACGCTTGATCCCTGGTGTCCAGTTACAGATTTCTATCAGGAATAAAAGTTAAAGATATATGGGTTTAAAGGTTTGAGTGCTATGAGTTAGGATTAAGATATAAAATGGTTCATAATATAATTTCATCATTTTTAATAATAATTTATGAAACTGATAGGTCACGTGGGCTAATATAAATTTATAAATCAGATGTTAAAGTTTGACAATTATGCCACAGGAAAAGAAAATAACAATTTATATTATTAATATTTAAAATATTTTAATAATTATAGTTATTTATGTATAATTAATCAATAATACATAAATTATTAAAAACATATCTTTATTTATTTTTTTTCATATATATTTTTTTATAGAATTGAATACAATATATAAGCGTCTATCCAATTCCTACACGATGTCGGAAAATTTCTGGTACCCCATATCAACTAAAGAGCAACAACCGAACTCATTTGCTAATCCAAATTATCAAGATCCTAGATCAGTTAGTCCCTTGATATATAACCCTTTAAACCCTCCAGGAGATATGTAAATCTATTTTTTATTTATAAATTCAATAATATGCAGACAATTTCAACAATTTGATTATGGCCAGAATCTAAGTGTTGAATCTCCAACATCGAATTATAACGTATATAATAATCCTTATAATCAAAATTATCAAGGTCAGATATTCACACCTGTTAGCACTACAAAACCAAATCCAAGTTATAATTATTCATCTGAATTAGAAGAAAATGAGCCACCTCTATTAGAAGGTATTCATTTTTTCATGAAATATTTATCTATATTTTATTTTTAGAACTAGGAATTGATTTTAATTGTATCAGATACAAAGTAATCATATATAATTTTTTTTAAACATATAATTTAGACATTATCTGTCTTAAATCCATTTAAAAAATGTAATTCGCAATTGAATACTGAAAATGACTTAGCTGGACCCTTGTTGTTCTGTTTGTTGTTTGGTATGAGTTTATTATTGGTAAAAAAAATGTTTTTTTATACCTTAATAGTTTTAATATTATTTTACATATCTACAAAGGCTGGTAAAGTTCACTTTGGATACATATATGGGATTAGTGGCTTAGGAAGCTTAAGCATATATTGCCTACTTAATTTAATGAGCTCACTTGGTGTATCCTTCCTGTGCATCATCAGTGTCCTTGGTTATAGCCTTTTACCTATTATTATCCTGTCTATCATCAGCATTTTTTTGACATTGAAGTAAATACTTAATTTACTTACAATTTTTAAGCTTTGCTATCTAACTTTGGCCAACTCCAATATGGCTTTCCAAATTTTTGAGCCTAAAATAATTTTAACTTCTAAACTAAGCCAAAATTTAAAGGTTCGAACAATTTTGCAGTATAAAAACTTGGAATTAGCTAAAATAAGTGTAGAGATCTACAGAGAAGTGTGGTGCTTCCATGGGGGGCCCTTTATATATATTTTTTAAATTACTAAGATTAATTAATTATTTTATTATATTCTTTTCTGTAAAATGGCCCATAATGTCTTCAATATTTATCATATCTCAACTAGATAATCTAACCACACAATTTCATACTGAAGCATCAAAATAAAGATAAAGATTTATATTTTATTCTTATAGAAGCTGCTTTGCCTCATTCATCTTTTCTGTTTGGTTAATGATATAGTTGTTTCATCTTAAATGTGTATATTTTTGAAAATAATTTTTTTATTTTTATTTCGATTTAAAAACAATTACAATTTATAATAAAAGATATAAGCTATATAAAATAATATATATATATATATTATTTATTAAGAAAATAAGGTATTAAAATAATGTAATATATTTAAAAAAAAAGAACATGAGGAGTTTCATCTAGGTTATGGCTCTGTGGATTGATATACTCTGAGACCTACAAATTTCCTTTGAAATTTGTTGACGAAGGTAAAAAAAATCTTTCTGAGGATCACCAAAAATTAAGCGCATTTTATGGCTGAATCCTTGAAAAAATTCTTTGCTCTGGATCTAAAAGCACCGATTGTGTCAGAAACAATGGGGTTAGAGTAGTTATAGGAATGCTAATTTATGAAATTTTCGAATTTCCTCTCTAACTAAGGAATTGCTAAAGGATGGTACAAACCAATCAACACATGTATAATCCCAGGCTAGCGGGATTTTGTCACACCCTCATCTTGTAACATATATCAGCTCCCTGTCAACAGTCTAGGTCGTCACCCTCTTCACTGTCCTTTTTTTAAAGGCCGCCATCCACGCCACCAAGCAAATTTAATTATTGCTAGAACTCTTCGTTCAGCTAATATTCCATCAACTTTGGAACCTGTAGGTCTTAATCTTGGGGACAATATCAGGCCTGACGGAATGACACTTATTCCATGGAGCAGGGGAATCCCGCTAGCCTGGGATTATACATAATCGGTTTGCACCATCCTTTAGCTCTAATTCCTTAGTTAAAACGGAAATTAGAAAAATAATAAATACATTAGCATTCCTAATATTACTCTAACCGGGGTAGGTATTCAAAACATGATGGAATACATTTCCGATAAAATCAAGTTTTTAAATTTTGAAACCCGCTAAAAAATGATTTAAATTTGAAAAAATAACACATTGCCGGAAAAAACACATTGACGTTAACATATACATTAAATAAAATGGCAGGAAATTGGAAAAATCTTTTTATCTAAAAGTATAATCTTGTACGTTATTTTGAATATTTATTTTTTTACAATTATATTGTTTTTAAGATATGTTTAATTGACAGAAGGTAGATAATGTTAAAAATAAGTCATTTTTGCCACTTTGATCCCTATTTTCTCCAAAAATATAAATGTTAGGAGGCAAAAAATTATTAGCTATTTCTTAGTCACATTAATCTTTTCTTTCCTTATCAAATTTTTTAAAAAAAGAAGGGAGTCGGCCGATTCGTGGTTGATTTGTCATGGAATGACCCAAATTCCTGTTTCGAAATTTTACCGAATCCTAAAACGAATAATACATTTGATGATTGTATCATGAAAAAAAATCATCTTATTTTTAATGTTATAAATGAACAATATAATAAGATGTGCCAGATCTCAAATGATTTTGATTCAAATCACTCGCTACAAAATTCCCAATATTAAAAATGGAAATAAATTAAAAATAAGATATTACCTATTAAATAGAAGTATAAAAAAATTGAAAATTTTTGAAAAATGCCAAGTGAAAAAAAAAATTATTCCACGAAAAACAATTATACTGCTGCAGCGACCCCAATCACTTCGTTAGTTCACTAGAACCCGTAATATAAGGATTACTCCTGCACACACAAGGGTTCTAGAGTGAACTAAGGAAGAGATGGGATTTTTTTTCCCTTTAACCTTCCACATTTAAAAAGGGTTCGGTTTTGGGTTCAGCGAAGATACGAAGAGTCCGGGTTCACTTCCCTGATTTAACCAACTTTTATATTTATTATTTAATGACCAAATTTTTATTTTAGTAGCATAACTGGTACGATACTTATCCTTTCTTCGATATTATGGTGCGCGGTTTCCGCTTCGAAGATGTTCGTGGAAACACTGCGATTAGAGAGCCAACAATTGCTCATCGTTTACCCCTGCGCCCTGTTATACGGCGTTTTTGCACTTTTAGCCGTTTTCTGAAAGAATGAAACAAAAAAAAAATAATTTGATTAATGTTGACAATATTCACCCTTAATATATAATAAAATATATTTTACCAAAAAAAATATATAAATACAAATGAATTTAGGGGTAAATGTTATACCCTTTTATATATATAACATTTATAATGATTTTTAGACAATTCAATTTATCTTATACAAAAAAATTCTTGTAAAATTTTTTGGATCAAAATAAATATATTTATTCATTTAAAATCAAAATACCTTCCTATACGAAAACTTCATATTAAGAGAAATTTAGACAAGCCCATAGAATTTTTACATGTATACAATTTTATCGCATTTGTCATAGATTATGACCTAATGCATAATAACTCTCCTCTAAAATTGAATAACAAATATCTAGCTCTCTAATCCTCACTAGTTTTATGCATATTCATATATCCAGAGTTCTGCAGATTTAATGTTTTTGGTCCAAAGTTGGCTCAATTTCTTTTGTCCTCTCAACCAAAAAATATGCTAAATATTTATTTTGAGATTTATGGGTACGAATTATAAATACAAACAATTTGACTTATTATTTATCAATCCATATTTTTTACAAATTATAATATCTATGGTCAAATTTGTTTTTAGCAAACCTAACCTTGACATTTTAAGTGCCATTAGAGTGTATATATGAATTTTGAGGTATATTTAGTACACTTTCAAATGAATTTTAATAAATGAATAGTTATTCTAGGCTAGCATTAGTGTCATTGTATGTAAGAATAGAAAGGAAAAACATTTAACTTAACTGATAATTTATTTTAAGATATAATAAAATTTTTTATAGTAATTTATATTCATATTACGTCTTTAATTTTTATTATTATGAATCAATAGAAAAGTATCAGTGCCGGAGGCATTAATATCTTCTCCATTTAATTATGGTTTTCCAGATTTAGGTAAGTCAGCTTCATATCTAATTCCCTTTTCGCCTTTTATCCACATTTCGCAACCAGAGCCCGAATTTAAAATTTTTTTCGTCCGAGCCCGACCCGAGCCCGAGCACACATTTTTTAGTTCAACCCGACCCGAGCCCGAATAAAATTTTGCAATTTGAGTTTAAATATTATAATAGCCAAAGAAAATTTATGTGTATTTAATTTATTCATCGCCACCTTAAATAAAAGTTTATTTGACGGCCATAATCTATTCAAGATATATATTAAGTTGCATTTTATTTAATTTGTTAAAAATTTTATAAAAAGATTATTATACAAGCGAATTTAAAAATTATAGCGATTATATAAAAATACAATAAAAGCATCATTTATGTCGAATATAGATGATAATGATATATAAGTTAATAAATATATAAAAAATATAATGAACATATTATATTATGTTAACATATCAATATCATTATCAAAAGTATCACAAAGTGAATAATTATGATATATAAATAAAGAGATGTCCAGTTTATCTGGCTTTAAACAAGTCCTAAATTATAAAATAATAATTGATAATGACATGACATGTTATTATGATTGACATTGGATAAAATGTGATAAATAAAAAATGATATGATTTTATAATTAATATTACAAATTATAATGACCATTTAGGATATTAATATTATTATTTATTTTTCGGGTCGGGTTTCGGGTCGGACAGCTCTTACAACCCGAGCTCGAATCCGAAAAAAACTTTTTTCATGTCCATACCCGACCCGAGCCCGAGGCTCGGGCCGGGTCGGGCTACGGACAGCCCGTGCAGTCCTCTATCCACAGTCTTGGGCCTTATTCGAGGTCTTTATTCACTTATTTATCGAGGTGCATCTCTTTAATCATCTTTTGTTCAACATACCCAAATCACCTCAGCCTACTTCACTCATCACCAATCCAATCGTTTTTATCCCAATCTTTTATAGCAATTCCTTGCTGATTTCTCTCTCTCACAGATACCATACATCCATCCAACCTTTCTCATCTCCGTTCTTTCCAATTTTAGTTCGCGTGACACTTTAATTGCCCATATTTTACGACTATGGACTACAATTTCTCACGCAGCTTTCCTAAATTCTTCCCTTTAACTTCAAAGATACCTTTTTATATATGACATCTTTCGGTACTTCTTTCACGCATATTTAACCCTTGCAACAACATCAGAATCAGCATTTCCATCTGCATTTAGCATGCTGCCCAAATAACGAATTGATCTATTATCAATGTCTATCCACGCTTAACTACAATATCATCATGACTCCTTTCACACACAATCTACAAATAAGTGTCAAGCCAAATATCTCCCACCTTTCTCACTATTACATCGTTTATGTATCTAATATTTCTGACAGCAAATACAGTAGTTGAATTTCTCGCAGCTCCTTCAAAATGTCCTCGCTTACAAGTACCCTTTGCATTCTTTATCCTATGCTTATAGCTAGGACCGCGTTTTGTGCCCCCGCATACATTGCCATCAGCAACGGACGCATAATATTGTTTTGATTTCTTAATTCCATCACCATTTTCCCTTCCGCATACATTCTAAGTTGTTTCCAATCAGGTTTAGCTCCCCCCCTTGTTTACACCGGAAACCTGTGCAACCTCAGACCTCTCTTATTGTCAATGTCCTATTAAGTTTATATTTAGCATTCTCCTTCAATTTCTAAATCTTCAGCCTCGGCATAAACTTTCTATTAGTGATCCTCACGCTTTTAAAAGTAGGATCTCCTACAAGTTATGCTATGCTGCTCAATTCACTTCTCCTCTAACAAATTTCATGATCCATTGCACTTTTAACTACCTGATATGTAAGTAAACAGCTTCTCTGCTTATTTCTTTAACAGATAATTTCAAACTAACAAATCTAGAATTCTCACCACTTCAGAAATTTTTCATGCTAAAACTAATTCCCCTATATCTCACCCTATACTATTTACTACACATACCTGTTCAGATCAGGCATAATAATCACCTCTTCATTAAGTAGTCTTAATGTAATTTCCAATAGACTTCCCAAATATATATTTCTCTTCTTAATTTCTGCTAACTTGGGTAGCATATGCTGAGAAAATATTTAATCTTCTACCAAAGATCATCTTGATTATCCAATTTTTCTACTTCAACCACTTTGTTCACCAATTTCTCTGCAAAGAACACATCAACGACTGCCTTATAATAGTAAAAATCCTTTCTCCTTCTTTACATTATGCTCATCATTTCTCCCGCTTTTCCCGTCAAGTTACATGTCCGTCGCAGCTCTTTCTTTATCACTACTAAACCGGTTTCTCCACATATTTTAAGGTAGTTTGTGGCCTTCATAGGTCTCGTCTTTCTAAATTGTAGTTCCAACCGGCCTCCTCATTCTTTTTTTTGTATAAGATTGATAATTAGGCCCACTGGATACTATGGGTTGGAGCCGCGCATATTAGTTTTAAAGAGTTTTGAAGCGATGTTTTTACAACCAGGTGACTTTTTTTAACATGTGACATTTACCCGTTCAAGAGACCACTATTATTCTTTAAACCCAGATTACTGGGAACCTTATGACTCTCCATAGACTTCTATGAGAAGTTGCCACTCCCCCGTCGCACTGAGGCCGAAGTTAGTAATTTTGGGAAAAAAAGGGCAATTTTATATATAAATAATAAATAAATCAAAAATAATTAATAGTCTCACTCAGAAAATGATCAAGATGACATCAGGCCCTCGGAAGTATTGTTTTAAGGCTCTTTTGGATGATAAGTTTGATAAGGGATCTTTGCCTTTTCTGAATCAGCAGGTTAATTAAAAACTGAAACCACAATAGATATAAATTATATTGTTCTAAACTAAGTGCGAATATTTGTGGGATTTGTTTTTTTCTCTCATCAATTCATAGGTGATTATAATTATTTGAAGGAAGATTCCAGAAATTTTCTTTATTATTGATTCTTAGGATGGAAGAATAAAGAAGATCTTCTATATTTAGTACAGAAAATTTTTTTTTGTCAATTATACTTAATTTAGAATTATAAATTTGAATATTCAATCAAATCTTAAAATAAAGATCAATAAGAACCAATCATCAAACTGATCTGTCTCAGGGTGATTTTAGATCGTAATTTGGTATTTATTTTGGGCCAGTTCAAATAATTTGTAAAACTAAAGACCGATTGGAGATTCATTCATTAAATCCATTTAAAAGTGTTCATAGGTAGAAGTCAGCTGTAGCGCCATTTTGTGATTTTGCGCATCAATTTAAATAACATTAATTTGCATTAATTTAGTGATAATAAGACAATTAGTCTGCAAGCCACAAAAGGGCGCTGCAGCAGACTTCTATGTATGGAGACTTTTCTCCTAATTAATGAATAACCAATCTAAGTAGTATATTTCTATCCTTGCATCCCACTATACTCACCCAAATATTTAAGTTTTAAAATACTTAGTTTAGATATCTTTTCTAATTTTAATAAAAAAAATCAAGATAAAAATCTGAAAGACCTGCAAGTGTCAAAATATAATACCTAACCCTGCATTCACAGTTAGTACGAATTCGCGGTGGAGAATACAAAAATAGTGATGTTAAAAGTTACTTTTGAAACATAACTAGTTACAGTTACTAGTTACATTGGCAAAAACATAACTAGTTACAGTTACTAGTTACATTTTTACAAAAATAACTAGTTATTAGTTACAGTTATTTTCAAAATTTTTTGCAATTATTGTAGAAGGAGGAGGTATAATTTCTTCATCATCTGACTCAGAATTCATATTGTATTCTGTTTCTATCTAGGAGATAAATATAAATAACACTATCTAAATTAGGAATAGAATAATCAATTAATGAGTGAAACATACAGTTCTAAATGTGTCTAATTTATATATAATTTGATTATAAATAAAAATTCAGGCTAGACCAAAAAATAAATTTCAGAAAGCAATCATTTTTTAAAATTTGAGTAATATGCTTATGCTTTTGTTAGACTTGGTTCTTGTAAGTAATGATTAATAATTTAATATTAAGTTCTAAAATAATCTGTCTTTGTTTTTCCTTATACTAAATTAAAATTTTTTTTATTACGTATGATATGAAGTTCCAATGCTTGTTACTTGACGGAAAAAAATATATTGTGCTACATTTGTAAATAAATATAATATTAAAATTTATTAAATTACTTGAATTTGCTTACAAAATTATGAAGCCCAGCAGCAATGTAACAATTTAAGAAAAGAAAATTAATTTGAACAGAAAATTATAACAATCAGATGTTTTCACAAAATTTTAAATTAAGAAATTTAATTTAAAATTAATTTATCACAACATATTAAAAATAAAATTAATTATTTGAATATATCTTTAAAAGTAACTAGTTACTTTTGGCAGTTACATTTCAAAAATTATAACTAGTTACAGTTACTAGTTACAATTTTAAAAATATAACTAGTTACAGTTATTTTTTAGCCAAAATAAAAATACCCTCGTATTTTGTAAAATGTGCTACTAATCACGCTAACTAAGAATGAATGGTAACTCTGCATTCAAGAGTAATTCACGAACCATTATTTGAAAAAAAAAGAATTTCATTTTAAAGCCCGGCTGGCAGTTTTAAAATATTTCTTTGGCTCGGGCATAGATTTTTTCTATTTTTGATCATCCTCCTTTTTTTAAAAAAAATCTCGTTTTTTTTGAATAAATTACATTTTTTGAGAATTGTTTTCAACGGGGAAAATAGAAAATAAGAAAGAGTAAATTGAATTAACATTTTCCAGCTGATAAATTTATATGTGTCAAAAATGGCGGATTCAGAATTTTTACCCGCCCCGGATCTTTAACCCCCGCATTCACAGTTAGCGCCAATTCGCGGCGAAAGTCTAACACTTAGTAACATATTAGTTTTTGACCCATTCCGGACCTGGCCCGCAGGGATCCATGGTATAAATAAAGACTATTATAGAAGTCATAATCTTCGAAAAATAGAAGGATCTAGGCCAATTGGGCTAATTTTATTTTTCTTCGAAAATCTAGAGGAACAAAAAAAAAATTGTTCGCTTTAGAAAAGGGCTGAGATTAGACAAAACTTTAATTCTCCTTTCCGTTTCTTCATTTTGATTTAAATCTATATTTTATTATTTATTATATTTTTTTTTAAAAAAAAAAGAAATAAAAGGAAAATTTATAATCCAGAATCAATGACATAATAATAATAATAGCTTGACTGATGATGTATTCATTAAAGGTGTACATCAATGAAAAACAGCTGGGGACGCCATTTTGGTTACCCATATTATTATTAAAAATTTTAAACGAGATGCCAATTTATTCCTATGTCTGACGCAAACGTTATTAAAGAATCGAGATAATGAGGAAGCAAGTTATCCATTTAATAGTAGTTTTTAAACATGAGAATAATTACTATACGGGTTACCAAAATGGCGGGTTCAGCTGATTTGCATTCGACGACGCTTTCAAATGCGTTATTATGTATGCAACATCGGTCTAGATATTATTATTATTTGTTATTGTGTGGAATAGAAGAATAAAGTGAAAAGTAAATATAAAAATCCTTTAAAAAAAAGAAGCTTATGGGCAGTGTTGTTTAAACGGCTAGATTTAAAGCGATTTTTAAAAACGGCTAACCTCAATATTTTAGCCCAGAAAAGTAATGTCTATGCCTCAAGATTTCTTTAATAATTGTTCAAACTTTTTTTTCTTAAAACCATTCTACGAGAAAAATTTTAAGGCTTTGGAAATAATATTTTTCTGGATGAAATATTCAGTTAGCCTTTTTGTAACTTACTTATTATTTTTTTCGACTTATTTTTGTTACCGGCTAAACAGCTTTTGAATCAGGACACCATATTTTAGTTTATTATGAGTATTTAGTGTCATTTATTTCATTCTAGTTTTTTTTTTGTATTTTTGACTTAATTTCTTTTAATTCAGGACTCACCCTTTTTAAGCTCTAAGAACCCAAATGATTAAAAGAAAAATACACATTAATTTCCAATATTTTCTTATACCCATCATAAGTAAGTGCCTATAATTTTTTATTTCACAGTAATGTAATAATATAATATATTATATAATATTGATTTTATATTAATACCCCCTTTTATTAATTATTTATTTATTTTTTATTTTACCTGCAATAAAATTTATTAACATTTTATTGATATGTCCTATATAATTTTTATTTTATTATTTAATATAAAAAATATTTTTTTTGTATAAATGTTATTTATAAAAAATCTGTATTTTTTTAAAAAAAATAAAAATATTATTGTAATATAGGAATAAATGATTTTAGCAACTTTTCCCAAAAAATAAATCATCTATCCTATCCATTCTCCCAAGTTCGCGGAAAGCACCATCAATTTTTTTGAATGTAAGTTATCATGTATTTTATTATACTATTACTTCAAAGTAGAGGTTTGCACAAACCGGTCTGAATCCGATTTGATCGCAATCCGACCAGTCGGATATTCCCCGGAATCCGGACACCTTGATCTCAAAATTTTATTTTGACCCCGACAAAATTTAAAATAAAATTTGTTTTCCTTAATTCATTTTTCTATTTTCCCCCTTTAACAGCTTAGGAATTTTTCCGCTTTCGTTGTTTAAAGTATTGTATACCTTTTCCAACCGTCCATTAAAAGAAAAAAATCGAAACTAGGGGGCCCCATTTTATAAAATAAAATTTTGGAATGCACTCGTATCCTCGAAAAAAAAGATTTCAATGTATGACAGATAGGGAAGGGGTTGAGATACCTGTCGTATTAAAGGATCTCACGGCCTAACCCGTCCCATTATCAGACTTTGCCCGGATCTTCCAGACCGGCTGACCGGGCTTTGGAGTAGATCTTTTATCTCTATAATAATACGATGCTCGTTAAAACTATTTATTTTATAAGAAAAATGTATTAGTTCTAAAGTCGAAAATCGTTTTTAAAAAAAAATTTTTTTTATTAAATGATTATTTCATTTTAAGTGTTCTTATTATTGATGCCATTATTTCGAGATTCGTTATTTAGAACATTATCTGTCATAGTTTTTTAAATTAACCAAAATTTAGCTACCCTTCTTCATCTTGATCTGTATACAATAAAACCTGTCTAATTTGGTTATCGTTTGGGATCAAGATTCCCCCCCCCCCCTCCCCAACTTTAGACAGTTGCGTTGCCCCAATTTATCGAGACATATTCTAATACGTAGTAGTTAATAAGGAATTTGATTTGGGAATCCAAATTTTTGCTCAAATCAGGCAATTGTCCGAATTATTAAGAGCTCAAATTAGATCAGGGTTACTGTATAAACATAAAATACACCTAGATCCGAGCTGATAATTTTTAGGGTAAACATTAGGGTTAGCCCCCCGCTAAAAATACCAAACCAACTATAACTGTAGGTGCCCGATTTTTTAAAACGGCTCCGATTAAGATCTTAGCCAAAATAATTTTGTTAGCCCTAGAAATATTTTCTTCATAGATGGCAGATAGGTTTGGACCTTTATTTGTCAAAAATAGATCCAAATTGGGCTTTTTAACAACACTAGGTAGCTAGGTATACAAATTTATGAGATGTTTTCATATATATATATATATATATTTTTTAAAGATAAAAATTAAAAATATTCAAGTATTACATTAAATATCATATAATCTAGATTCTAATCGATATTTTATATATATATTTTTTTTGAAATCTTTTTTTTAAAAATAACTAATTTTTGGGAAAAAATTCCATGAAAGTTAATAACAAGATGAGGCCACTGTCAGCTAGCGTTATTAAACGGCTCGAACTGGGTAGAATAATAAATAATTGCTTCACCACATTTCTCCAATAAAATGATTATTATTAATAAGATGTATTTTTTTCCGAAAATAAATCTTTTTATTCTTATAACGATATTATTTAATTACTCATGGGCCATTAAGCCCCGCCGATCAAACCTAAATATGTTTCATAGATATAATAATGATTCATATGTATATGTTGGCGTCAATGTGTTTTTCTTTTCCGGCGATGTGTTATTTTTTTAAAACTTTAAAAATCACTTCTTTTTTTTGAGCGCGTTTTTAAAAAATTTAAAAATCGGATTTTACCGGAAATGCATTGTTTGGAATAACATATCATATGATTTGTAGACAATTTTTTCTGTTAACCTTTGAATAATCTATAATTTATATAAAAAATATCTTTAATTTTTGGAAGGTAATTACGCCAGGTCTTAAAGGAAGGGGATGCCAGAAAAATAATTTAATGATATACCCCCTTTTAAAATATTAAACTATTTAAAAATTAGATTGCAAATCTTATATTGCTGATAAGTTTCAGCAGATAGAAGAATCAATAATTACCTTCCAAAAATAAAAAATATGGAAAATCGAATATAAATTATATCAAGTTTAAAAGTTTATGAAAAAAAATTGTCTGAGATTCATAGGACAGTTATTCCCAAACATGATGGAATAAATTTCCGGTAAATTCGGATTTTTAAATTTTTAAAAAAAACGCGCTAAAAAAAATGATATTTATGAAAGTTGAAAAAATAGCACATTGCCGGGAAAAACGCATAGAAAAAATAATGTTAGCATTTAATTACTATTTGATCGAAAAGATTCAATTATTTAATTTTTGTATAAAAAAAAAGGTAATATATTTGATCCCGACATTTAGGTTGTTGCACGCCCAATCACATCTCATTCGTAGTTTCGACAAAAATATGTTTTGTTATTTTTTGTATTCTTTGCCGCGAAATTATGAATAAACAAATGACGTTCTAATTTTTTTTTAACGCCATTTTGGTGGTGAAGCTTTGATGAACGGGATTGGAGTTGCTTGGATCGTAAACAAAAACTCTAACCGAACTATTAGACATGATACCTGATATCGGGGTTTCTTATAACTTGGTGGGTCAAAACCGAACCGATTGCTTAGATCGGACCTGCTGGAACACTCAAAATTTTCACGCATTCATTTCCTTATTTTGAAAACTTAGAACTTCTTGATATTTTGGAACCGTTTCAAAATCCTAATGAGTATTTTTAAAAAAAAAGAAGCCAAACCGAGCCCGCCTTTCAAAACTGACCATAAAGTGTCATGATAACAAATAAAATATCCGGGGTAGGTTTGAAACAATAAACCCGGCTTTTGTCAATTCTTTCAAAATAATGAAAATTCATCCCCATAATATATCAAAGTTATTTCAAATGACCAAGTCTTTATAAAAACCAAAAAAAAAATTTTTTTTTTCTTTAAAATTTGTACCGTGGTTAAAAAAAAAAAGAAGAAATTTTCTTTAAATTCGTGTGGTGTTCATACTTACCCCATTTTCTTTTAAAAGAAAACAATGGATTTTTACTGTCCATTTATAAATACATCTGAAATTTTTCTTTTAATATAAAAATTATCTTTATAAAATATAATTGAAATAATATGCAAAATTGAAATATTAAATTATGATCTAATAAAACGACATAAAAAATAATAATATATAATACTATATATTTTATTTTATATATAGGCCACTCACTCAATTTATTATTATTTAGAAGTGTAATATAAAGTTTTGCTTTAAACTTTAAAAGAAAAAAAAACACAATTATGCAAAATAAATGTTTTTTATATTTTTTGTTTTTTATAAAAAAAAAAAATTATAATGTTTTAAATTAAATTTACTACAATGGAAGGCTATGGGAGGAAGACATCGAGAATAAGAGGATGGAATGGCAAAAAAAATATGGCTTATTAAAAAAAAAAATTGAATTGTACAACAAAGAGACAATTTTATATTTTATGTTCATTTCTTCTATGTGATAAAGTATGATGAGATATCCATTGAAAGAAAATAAATTTTTCGATGTATAACTACTTTGTAATAAAATAAAAAGAGTCATATTATACATATATATAAATATGTATGTTATATTAGTAATATACACACTTTACAAATTTTACTATATTATTATAACAAGTATAAATATGATGCAAACTTGTTTAACTTTGCTGTAATTATTTTTATTTTCTTCAAAAAAAAACGATATTTAAAACAATAATTACAGCAAAGTCCGAACAATTTTTATAAGATAATTGTCAACAAATATATGGAAATGTTTTTTTTACAACAAATCATAACACACACACACTGCATGTTATAAATTATATAATTATGTATAAATATAATTTAGTGTAATTTTATTATAAATGGAATAGGCAAAATATTTAATAATGTTTTAGGATAGAAATGAAAAAAAAACAATGATAAAATTCATTGAAAAAGAAAGGGCTAATATATACAAGGTGAGGAACAAAGAATGTTTAAATAAAAATGCTTATACATTGGCAAGAAAGATCCATTGTATTCTCTTCTCCCCCAATTGAAGAGTTACAAAGTTTTGCCCGGGTCTCTTCCCATCAGCTGGTGCCTCCCGCGATTTTTTCTCTCCTCAACATACGCATAGACCTCTTTATAGCATAACACCCGCGAATATCAATCTCCCGCAATTTTAAGATTTCCGCCACCCTAACACCTTTTTTTTAAGCAATTTATTAAATGATTAAATTCAAAGAGGATACAAAGATATTCTCTAAATATAAATGTAAGGTGAAACTTTTGTAATGTACCCGTTTTTTATGCGTAAAAAAACCCCTGATTTTTAGGGGAATTGTTTTTTTCCCTGTTTTTTTAAAAAAAATCGCTACTACCTTTTTAGGGGAATTGTTTTTTATCCTGTTTTTTTTAAAAAAATCGCTACTACAGATTTTTCCTTAATTTAAATTTTAGCTATATTTTTAATTTTCAAATTTTTTTTTTATTATTATGCTAAGAAATTTGATTAAAATAATAATATATAAATTTATTATAATTTTCTAAAACTTTAAATAATTTTTTTTTTTTTAAAATGTTTTAAAATGTTCATTTAAAAAGGATGATGTTTTATAAACTCCATTTATTTACCTTCCCGTTTTTTTATGTTAATGTATATTTAAAACAACTTTAGAAATATCTAAGTTAAAAGCAGAAAAATCTGGGAAAATGTCAGCAGATAAAAGTATGTAAGTGTTACACATATTATTTATAATTTTAAATTCTTTACTAAGAACTTTATTTTATTAATAATAATTGAATAAGATATACACATTATATTACTATATCTAGTGGATTTAAAATGCTTTTTTTTATAAACATCCCCTAAATACAAATAGCCTTCATTTAGGATTGATAATATCTTCTTAAAATTTGATACAGTATTGAGGAGAATGTATAAAAGAAAGAAGGATAAAAACTCTGTTATATAAAAATTTCGCAATTATAAACTAGTGTTGTTAAAAAGCCCGGTCCAAAAATAAACATTACGCAAGTCTAAAGATCTTGCTCATAGTTTGGCAGAAATGTTTGAAACATCCATTTGTCAAATCTCTATGCCTTTACATAATACTATTTTAGCTAAAATTTTAGTATGGCCATTTTGCAAAATCGATCCAAAATCGGACTTTTTAATAACACCACGCTAGATTCCATCCATATTATGTTCGAATCAAAGAGAATTATTAGTCAACTTCCTTCCATTTATTTCTATAATTTTATATTAGGCCCTTTTTTTTAAACTAAAGATTCTAATTAAGTGAGAAACATAGTAATATATTTTAAATTAATTTTTTTTATAGATTTCTAAAGCATTCGAATAAAATAGTTAGACTTTTTTTTTAAACTTAGAAAATATAAAATATATGCAGTTTTTCTGATAATTTCGTAATAAATTTTTTTTTTTCATTTAACTATCTGGAATTGTCTTAAACAAGAAAGAAAGAAAGAAAGAAAGAAAGAAAGAAAGAAAGAAAGAAAGAAAGAAAGAAAGAAAGAAAGAAAGAAAGAAAGAAAGAAAGAAAGAAGGAAAAAAGAAAGAAAGTAAGAAAGAAAAGAAAGAAAGAAAGATAAGAAGATTATGAGACGTTAAATGGGCCGAATTGGGTCGATTTTAAAAAAAAACCCCAGACAGATAAGAATTTTAACCAAAAAAAAATAAACATTATGCAAGTCTAGAGAATCTGCTCATAGCTTGGCAGAAATGCTTGGAAGATCTATTTGCCAAATTTCGATGCCTTTTACATAATCTTATTATTTTAGCTAAAATCATCAGAGTTGTTAAAAGATACTTTTTAAATGGATCTAGATACAGATACATCGTTTAAAATAATATCTAGATACAGATATTTTAATCAAAAATCTATCTAGATACAGATACCACATTTTTATATCTAGATACAGGATCTAGATACTGTATCTAGATCCTGTAACAACTCTGAAAATCATAATCGGACCCTTTTTGAAAAATCGATCCAAAATGGGGGGGGGGCTTTTTAACTAGTGTTGTTAAACTACCCAACTTTAGTCAACTATAAAACAGTGTAGCCCCATATTTATATCTAAAAATATTCGAGTCAATCTTCAAGTTGAGAATCAACTCAGAAAACTTAATTCAATTTTTAGGCTAAAAGCTTGACCGAGCCACGATAGAGATAGTCAAAGTTAGGTAATTTAACAACACCACCAGAGTTGTTAAAGGATCTAGATATAAAAATGTAGTATCTGTATCTGTATCTAGATCCATTTAAAAAGTATCTTTTAACAACTCTGCTAATCACGATTCTTAAATAAGCCTATTTTTTTTAAAATCGAATAAACAATTCCTTTCAAACTCAAAAATATTTATTAATCTTAACAAGAGTCATAAAATAATTTTTTTTTTTAAAAAAAAACACAAAGCAAAGTAGCTTCTTTTCTAATACTTTAACTACCTGGAGGAAGATAAGAATATGAAATTTTTTACAATTTTAAAACAAAAAAAAAATCAAAAAAAAAAACTTATCATAAAATATTAAATGATAAGAAAATTAATTTTTATATATTTTTTTAATTAATAATAAAAAAAAAATATATAAAAAAATTCTTTATTTGTTTATGTGGTTGTACTTTGATTATGATTTTCGTGTGTGATGATTCCTCCTATACGTGAGTCGCGTGGAAGACAAAAACTAAATACGGGACCTATATTATCATCTATCGTATTCGTACGAGATAATTATCAAAAAATATCAAAAAAAATATGAGATAAATTTTTTTTTTATTATTATTATCATTTTATTTCGAACAAAATATATTTCCATTTAACCCCCATTTCCATATTTATAAATTATTATTTATTTTTTTAAAAATTATATAATGCTAGATATTTGTACAAATAAACTGTTAGGAATTTTGGCAAAATCTGAAAAATAAAAAAATTCGTTTAAATTTTCTGACAATTATTTGGGGAAAACACAAAATCTTGTTTTGTCTTTTGTTTTTTTTTTAGAAGTTCCTAGAAAATTTTTACGATTCGAATGATTATATGGTATTACAAATTTATTTGCATATTGTTCAAAATGTTTTACTGCGATTCATTTTATTCTAGAAAAGTTTATTTGAAAGTAAGTATGAAAGAAAGAGAGAGGGAGGGAGAGAAACTCCCGAAGGATCTATAAAGATAAATGGCTCCCTTATCCTTCACCCCTAATGTTGTTAAACAGCACTCAATATTTTAGCCAGAAGCCTAAGCCTCGATGTCTAGACCTTTGTTCCTTCTAAGAACAAAATCTTCAGGCTTGCGTAATATTTTTATGGCTGAAATATTAAGTTAGCCGTTAACAACATTACTTCTCCCCATCCATGGAAGTTGGTGTCTAAGCCAAGAACCTCCATTTAAATTATTCTAGGGAACTCAGCCTAACCACTAAAACTCACTTTTTAAAAAATAAATATAGATATTCAAAATGAAACTATATATATATATTATTTTTTAATAAAAATAAGAGAATATAAAAAAATAATATTATAAAATTAAAAAAATACCATAATAAAATTAATTAATTGTTTTTTTAATAATTGTTAGTTATTTGATATTTTATTAATTTATTTATAAAAATAAAAAAATAAAAAAATATGTGACACAAAATGTCTCGTTTCAATTTCGGCAAATTTTATGAAAAGTATAAATAATTAATTTTTTTTTTTAATACTTTCAAATATAATAATCCATAAATTATGTTTTATAGGTTTTAACTGAAAAAGAAAAACCAAAAAAAAAGAATTTGAAATTCTTAGAATCTAGGGATAAATTGTCGCTGGAGGAATTATGAGGGATTCACATTTTGCGGAAGTGGAATCAAAGTAACCTATATATATATATCCAAAAAAACTGTTGGGGATAAATTATTCGTCAAAGATTAATCTCAGGAGTATATGGATTATGTTTAGAATAATAATTAACAATATTATTTTTTAAAGAAAATATATCATAATAATAATAATAATAATTTTACGATTGTAAATCATCGCCTGCTACACAACATTCGGATACACTGGGTCACCATTCCTATTTCGAAAAATAATATGACTCCAAAAAAAAATGTATTTAATCATTATAACCCATATTGCGAATAAAAGCATTTAAATTTGACAGAATGACGTAATGCCAATAAAAAATTTTCTAAGAAATTATTAAAATAATGGATTCCACGTGGATTTTAGGCATTTTAAAGATTTTAGGGATTTTAGCCCTATTCCGCATTTCCGAATTCGTGACAGGTTGACAAAAAAAATATATGTTTTATAAAGAATTTATTATATGGTCAGAATATTTTAAATGTTTATTATTTATTAAAACAATAGAAATTCTTTAAATGATAGTCAATGAAAGAAAGAAAGAAAGAAAGAAAGAAAGAAAGAAAGAAAGAAAGAAAGAAAGAAAGAAAGAAAGAAAGAAAGAAAGAAAGAAAGAAAGAAAGAAAGAAAGAAAGAAAGAAAGAAAGAAAGAAAGAAGGAAAGAAAGAAAGAGAAATAATGAATAAAACAAAATTGTTTTTTTTTGGATTTCTCCAAAATTTATGTAATAAATGATCCTATAAAAGAAAAATACGATTTTTTTTTTGGTTTAAAAAAAATAAAATAAATCGATAACATAGTTATATTCAGGTAAAAATTTTGTTGAAAATTAAATTAAAAAAAACATTATTAAAAGACAGGTCAATTACATCTAAACTTTTGTTATTTTTATTTTATATAACATAATACTAAAATGATATCATATCTAAAATGATTTCTCTAAATATTTTTAAAAAAAATCTGGATACTGGTTTTAAACCATGTAGTATGTTTATTTATATATACCATAATCTAGTTAATTGATTTATTGATTTATTTTTGCATTATTATAATCTCCCCCCCCCCCTTCCCATAAAATAACTTAGAGATTCCCTCAAATTGTTTTTTTAAAAATAAATAAAATTAGTGTTGTTAAACGGCTCACGGCTAACTCAATATTTTATCCAGAAAAAATATTACGCAAGCTTAGAGATATTGCTCATAGATGACACATAGTATTGGACATCTATTGGCGAAATCTCGACGCTCAGGCAATATTTTCCTAGATATAATGTTGAATTAGCCGTTTTTAAAAAAATCGGCTCAAATTGAGCCGATTAACAACACTAGAAAAAAATAAATTCTTTTATAAGATTTCCACAAAAAACTCACAAAATTCAAAAAAGAGTTATATTTTTTGTTTTAAAAAAAACAAATAAAAATTAGTAAATCAAAGGCGAGGAAGTTAAAATTAAAGGGGAAACAGGCAAAGTGTATTCTCGTGAAAAAAATAAAAATAAAAATAATGGGAGATTTGTAAAATATGATATAAGAGGGAATACGGTACAGGTTACCCTTGTCTGGAGAGTAATGATAAGTTTTAATGGGAGTTATGGTGCCCATGTTATTTGACGGGAGCGGCTATTTCTGTGATGGGGTTATGAATTGGTATTGTTGAAGGGCACTCAATATTATTCATCCAGAAAAAAAAATATTACTCAAGCCTGAAGATTTTTTTTGTTCATAGAAGGAACAAAGGTCTGCACATATATTATCGGCATCTCGAGGCCTTAGGCAATATTTTTTCTGGTTAAAATAATGAGTTAGCTCAAAACGAGCCATTTAACAACACTAGCGTATGATAAATATCAGGAGTCTTTGGGCCTCTATGAAATGATAGAAAAATGAAAAAAAAATGTATTCTTAGAGACGAGAATTTTCTCCACTATAGAGTTAGTTAAAAAAACGGCTAACTCAATATTTTACTAGATTTGGCTAATTAGATGTCTAAACCGTTGTGCCAAATCCATCACCAAAAATCTTCAGGTTTGTATAATATATTCCTGGATGAAACGTACAATCTGAATTTTATCTATATAGAAATTGTAACGAAATTAACTCTTAAATTATTAATTTTTTTTTAAAAAAAAATGAGGAGAGGGGCGAGGGCTTTCAAAAAAAAAATTTACGCGCGTTTTTCTTCTTCCCGCAAAAGCTCATTCCTGATTGAATAATACTTGTCAATCTCAGATATTTTCTAAGAAAAATTATTTTTTTCTTCCTTGTTTTTTGTTTCGTTTTTATTAAAGATAAAAATAATTTTTTTTTATTTTAATTTTAAACAAAAAAAAAAGAGAAAAATAAAAGCATGTTATCTTAAAAAAACGTTTCATTTTTCAAAAAAAATTAAAAATTATTTATCAATTTTTTTAAAATTTAATATTTTTTGTGACCCATTTTCCCTTTTCTGTAAAAAAAAACATTAATTTTAAAAATTAAAAAAATAATGATAAATAAATGAAAAAGATATGAAAATAAGGGAGAAAGAAGGGGGGGGGTGGTGGAAAGGTAGCGAGAAGGAAAACAAAATTTTACTAAGTTGAAAAATTATGGTGTACAGTAGTGTTGTTAAACGGCCCATTTTGAGCCGATTTTTTTGTAAAATTGGCTAACTCAATATTTCATCTAGAATAATATTACGCAGGCCTGAGGATTTTTGGTTGTAGAAGGAACAAAGGTTTGGACATCTATTAGCGAAGTCTCGTGGCTTAAGGAATATTTTTCTGGTTAAAATATTGAGATAGCCATTTTGTAAAAATCGGCTCAAAAAGAGCCGTTTAACCTACCATTTTAAAACTAAGGAGATGAACAATACGCATACACAATAATAAAATTGTATTTTGGAGTGTTCAAAATAGATCTAAAGGGAGAAATATGAGTAATAAACAGATTTGGATGAAAAGACTGACGTGTCTAAAAGACACTTCAAAATTTCTTATTTGTGATGGTATACTATAATAGTTTTTTTAAAATATCAAAAAAGGGTTCAAAAAAAAGTGTCGTAGATGTTATATCTAATTTTATATAATATCGTAATTGACGATAAAATAATTTCCGCGGTGCCCGAATATCAATATAATATGTCAATCATGATTTAATTCGAATAAATGAGGATAGGATTTTGTCAATTCTTTTTGTTCGTTATTCATGAATGTTATTACAAATAGCGAATATGTAAATTAATAATATTATATCCGCGATTATGTCAATCATGATTTAATTCGAATAAATAGATAGGATTTTGTCAATTTCCTATTTTTTGTCATATGTTATTACAAATATGCGAATATGTAAATTAATTATATTATCTTCAAAGAGTATTTGTAAAATTTTTCATTTTGTTTTCCAAATTTAGGGTTTACGAGTTGCGACATTCCGACAATGGATAGGATCATCGATATTCCAGAAAATCTTCCTAAAGGTCATATTCTTATTTATTTATTTTTTTTTATCATTTTTTAAAAAAAATATTTACTTTATTTCACTTCAATAATATAATAATTCCTCTATATTTTATAAACCATATGATTATTAAACGCCCGTCTGGCGCTAGACGCGCCCTAACTGAGACAAGACGCGCCACGAGGGCGTGACGGGACGTTTCCGAGTCCTTCCTCCTCACATTTTATTTTTTATATTAGTACTGATTTTTAAAATAATTATCATAAAATTGGTTAAAAGGACATTTAATAAATAGCTGTTGTATTTTAGTATTCATATAGTTTAGACAATGAATAAATATAATTTAATTTTAAAATAGGCACGTGATAGGCTCATTTAAGAGTATGGTTGCCTCAATGACATATAATGATACCTAGACTGACGATTATCCATGATAATGCATTTGAAAGCGTCGTTGAATGCGAATCAGCTGGACCCTCCATTTTGTCAACCCAATATAGCAATTATTTTCATGTTAAAAACTACTTATTAAATTGATAACTTGCTTCCTTAATATCTCGATGATCAGGCAATTCTTTGATAAAGTTTGCGTTAAATAAATTGGCCTCTCGTTTAAAGTTTTTAATATTGATATGAACCAAAATGGGGTCCTCAGCTGTTTTCATTGATGTACACTTTTAATGAATGCATCATCAGTCTAGGTATTACTATATGTTATTTGGTTGCCTACTACTTGTTTTTTCTCTCTTCCCATTAATAAGCTTGAATTTTTTTTTTAATAAAAGTGTATAATGAATAAATGAAGCTTATTTTCGAAAAAAAGTTAGATAGTAAATTTTATTTATTAAAGATAATCATCTTTTTAAAAAAAAATTAAATTTGATATAAATTTTTTTTTAATGACAAATCAAAATAAATAGGGTGTCCTGGTTTAAAGTTGAAGCCGTTTCCGGCTATATAGCTTCGTTTGAATAACCTAAAAAAGTAAAAGAAAAAAACAATAAAAAACGAAAAAAACAACAAAAAATTAGAAATAAAAAACGAAAACATAAACATTCAAGATAAACAAGAATAAAAAGGGTGTCCTGGTTTAAAGTTAAACCCGTTTCAACGATATGTTTTAAAAATAAATGGAAAGGCCGTGTTTTAGGTCGACTTATTACTAAACTCCTGGTTTACCCGGGTAATGTAGTTTCGACTAAAGTAAAAAAAAAGATGAAAAAGAAAAAAAATGAGAAAAAAAAGGATTTACAATGGCATCAAATATTTTAAAACAAAACAAAATAGGGGTGTTCTAGTTTAAACCCTATTTAGCCTTGGCTAATAAACAGCAATAAATAATCAAAACTAAGTCAAAACCTGGAGACAGCCTTGCGTCTTTCCTGTCTTTAAGAGAGTATACGCATCCCAAAGACGCTATATCAGAAGAACGCGAACTCCTCTAACTCTGATAATCTTAATAAACCCTGATGATATAATACAAAATTAACCAAAGTGTTAGAACCTAAATAAGGTCGCTTTAAAAAAATAGAATCATTGGGTTTTGCCTGTTTTTTTTAATGTTTTTTAAAAAAAAACTTTTGGTTTTTTTTCTGTTTTTAAAAAAAAACAACTTTTTATTAATGTCATTTTTTAATACTAAAAAGATAGTTGCTATAACTTTGAAGAGGATACACCATTATGTGAATAAAAAAGCAGTATTAATGTTATTCTTGTTTAATCCAATATAATATCATTTTGGGAAAACTTATTATTTAAAAATTAGTTTCATTCAAATGCCTTTTGTTTGCTTTTAAATATAAATTTTAGAACATCTATTATATATTATAAATATATTTCCTTCCTTCCTTCCTTCCTTCCTTCCTTCCTTCCTTCCTTCCTTCCTTCCTTCCTTCCTTCCTTCCTTCCTTCCTTCCTTCCTTCCTTCCTTCCTTCCTTCCTTCCTTCCTTCCTTCCTTCCTTCCTTCCTTCCTTCCTTCCTTCCTTCCTTCCTTCCTTCCTTCCTTCCTTCCTTCCTTCCTTCCTTCCTTCTTCTTTCCTTCCTTCCTTCCTTCCTTCCTTCCTTCCTTCCTCCACTTCCATATATATATTTTTTTCAACTATTAAAATCACTTTATCATTTAAGGAGGATAATTTTCTTATTTAGCGTGTTGATTTATGATACCTTTTGAAAATAGAGATGGTATAATTATTGTTATGGCATTGGCTCTGCTTTTATATTTATCAATATAATTATTAGATAGATATACTACATTTATCAATCGATTTTTTTTAAAAAAAGGATAATTTAAATTCTTATATTATTTACCATTTTTTTTTGCAATGGTTCATCACACTTTAATGTTTGTTTAAAATACGGCAAGGGGGCTAAAAAAAAAGAATGAATTTAAAATATTTTTTAATCAATTACTCTAATTAAATTTATAATCCATTAACTTCTTTCTATCAAAGTAAAATAAAAACCCGGTTTGTGTGGATTTTTTAACACGGTACCGATTAAGATTTTAGCTAAAAAAATAATATTTTGCAAGCATCGAAATTTGAAAATCTAGATGTCTAAGAATTTCTGCTAGATATGAGCAAAATCTTTAGGCCTGCTTAGGGGCTTTTTAATAGCACCTAATTGAACAGAATAAAAAAAAATACGCAATATGGAAAAATATTCGATAACTTTATCTTCAATATCATTTTCCTAGTCTACATTGATGATCAAACGTCAGTCACTTCATAAATTTTTATGACATGGGGCGTCACGAAGACGCCAACATTTGGGACGGGACGTGTTTCCAAGGACGCTATTATTGGACAGAAATTGGGTTTGTTCTCTTCTGAACCGACCTTTGATCATCTATTGGTTAGTTCCATTTCACCAACTTACTAGAACTCAAATCCTGCCCAACCATCTGGCCATCTTGTTTATAACTTTTACTTTTTGACCGTGTTTGCCCTATTTTTTTTAAAAGCTCTTTACTTTTCGTTATTTATTCAACTAGTTCAAAATTTAGGGATAGTTGCATTAAAAAATTGTTGAAGCTAACGAAAAATAAAAACTTTTTTTAAAAAAAAACAGCTGTTATGTCAAAACCCGACAAAAATTGTTTTTAACCATATTAAGTCAATCAAATAATTGACTCATAAAGATTTTACCTTAATATTCACCTTTTTAACAAATATTTTCTCCCATCTTTTTCTTGTTTGAAAATGTTTCCTCCTCCTTTTATATATGTTCTATATTTCGCTTCACCTTCAATCAATTCCCCCTGCACATTTAAGCTAAGATTCGCGGTTATCTTTATTTTCGATATTTATAGCTCAATCAATGACATATAATAATACCTAACTGACGTTGCCATTCATTATAAGTGTACATCAATGAAAACAGCTGAGGACGCCATTTTGATTACCCATTATCACTATTAAAAATTTTTAAACGAGAGGCCAATTTACTTCCATGTCTGATGCAAACTTTATCAAAGAATTGCCTGATCATGGAGATAATAAGGAAGCAAGTTATCAATTTAATAGTAGTTTTTTTAACATGAGAATAATTACTATATGGGTTACCAAAATGGCGGGTCCAGCTGATTTTGCATTCGACGACGCTTTCAAATGCATAAAGCATCATTATGAATGCATCGTCAGTCTAGGTATTTAGAGAACTATCCTAAGTCTTATTTGGCGTTGTCAGCCGTTGTGCCTAATCTCTTCCCCTTTTTCTAATAACGAAAATTTAAATATTTATAAAAATTTTTTTTAAAAAAAAGGCTCAATAGTCAAAACGATCAGCGTAGTAGGTGGTCAGAAGATAGGCGAGATGAATAGGGTTAATATAACGCTAGACTCTAATCCTTACGTGCGTTTAGACTATAGCGGCAATTTCGATTTTCGTTTACTAAGATCCCTGGATGCCGAGGTTATCTTCGATGACATTTATATTAAATATATGCAACATTATGAATGTATATATAATAACCGTGAGACCCTATTCTATTGCGAAGGAGATAAGATGACTATAATAGTGCATATATATATAAATATACTTTTATAGATAACGTCTATATTTAAAATATATGTATACGCAAATAAAGAGAGACCCTATCTCAATCAAAACGCATTTAAGGTGTATCGATTCTACTACTAACATGATGGTAAAAAAAAAAATGCTATTACATATATATGTTATATTCTCTTTTTTAAAAAAAATCTATTTATATTCATTATTTATCTTTTCCAACTCCCCATAACCCTTCTTTTTGAGTAATAATGGTATAATATGATACTTATTTTAACATTATTCTCTACGTATCATTATTAATAAATAAAAATGCATTTCAATTTATTATGGACTAAAAATAACCAATGGTTTAGGAAGCCCCTTGAAGTGGTTTGCCTCACCCCGCTATTGGGGCTTGTTGGACAAAATTTTCACTTTTACAAAAAATAAAATTTAAAAAAATTGATTATATTCTTAAATTTTTTTTATAAGGTATCTTTATAGAGTATAGTTTTCGGTATCTAATCAAAAAAAAAACCAGGAGCTATAGCCAATTTTGTAAAAATTGGTTCTACTAACCCCGGTCTCCCCTATCTCTTCATTTTAAAATGTAACGGATTTTGATATCAAGATGGGAAATAGTGTTGTCAAACGGCTCGTGATGAGCCAATTTTTAAAAACGGTTAACTCAGTATTTTATCCAGAAAAATATTACATAACCATGAAGATTCTTCCCTTAGATGGCACAAAGGTTTGGAGATCTATTAGCTAAATTTCAGGCTAACGCAATTTTTTTCAAGCTAAAATATTGAGTTAGACGTTTTTAAAAATCGACTCAAATCGAGCCGTTTAAATACAGTAATGGAAATTTTTTGAAGAAGTTAATTTACCAAAAAAATAGAAAGTCATTATAACATAATTTTTTTCCTGTGTCATTATGATATAACAGGTGTCAATCTCAATTTCTGTACATCTCATTAGGGAATAACGTATAATTGTTATTTACTATGGAAGAGTATTGCTTTAATATGAATGTTTAAAATGACAAGAAAGTTCATATTGTTTCATAGGACATATTCCATAAATTAGTAGTATGCATTTCCGGCAAAATCAATATTTTTTTTAAAAAAAACAAGCGCTAATTTATTTATTTATATAAAAGCAATTACAATTACATATTTACAATATGTTTAAGGCTACATTCATAGTAAGATCCGATCCCGAGAAGATTTAACAGCTGAGCGATTTTAAAAATCGTTTAATGAGATCAATTTTTCTTAATTAAAATTAATGGCATTTAGATTATTATGACGAATAGAATTTAAATATTAAAAGAATTGATAGCATAAACAAATTTTAAGATCAGCTGTTAAGGCCTCATTCATAGTGGTACCCGATTCCGAGATGATTTAACAGCTGATCGATTTTAAAAATCTATTTTATGAAGATAAATTTTTTTTATCAAAATTAAAACCATTATTTCTTACATTATTATCACGAATAAAATTAAAGATAAAATAAACAGATTATAAAAATTTATCAGCTGTTAAACCGCGTTTGATCGGATCTCACTATGAATGCGGCTACACAAGCATAACAGGCGAATAACCACAGAGGGTGATCATCGCAAATTCGCGTTTTCGTAAATATCATTTTAAGCTAATAAAAATTCTCTCTCCCCCCCCCCCCCTTCTCCCCTACTCACTCTTACCATAAATAAATAAATAATAGTATATCATTTATAAAGAAGAATAAATAATCTATAACCAAATGTCTATAAAAAAGCGGACCAATAGACCTCCAATAAAATTTATGAGGGAAAACTCGCCCGATAGCGCCCCCCCCTCTAGCAAAATCATGGAAACGCTTAAGCATGACACCATAACAAATATTATGCAAATAATTCATTTTTAATTAATTATCGTTTATTTTAATCAGATAACTCAAGATGTATCCTTGAACATTTTGGATGTCAATGATAACAGCCCCTACTTCGAAAGGGATTTATACGATATTCAAACTAGCGAAGTTTTTTAAAAAAAATTATAGATAAACCATTTATTATTCATCGTTAAAATCTTGAAATGTTTTTTTAAAGATATTACAATGACATATTATAATACCTAGAGTGACGATGCATTCATGATAATGCACTTGAAAGCGTCATTGAATGCGAATCAGCTGGACCCGCCATTTTGGTAACCCATCTCACTCATGTTAAAAACTACTAATAAATTGATAACTTGCTTCCTTATTATCTCGATGATCAGGTAATTCTTCAATAAAGTTTGCTTCAGACATAGGAATAAATTGGTCCTTCGTTTAAATTTTTTTAATAACGATACGGGTAACCAAAATGGCATCCCCAGCTGTTTCCATTGATGTACACTTTAAATGAATGCATCTTCAGTCTAGGTATTATTATATGTCATTGGATATAATATATTATCTGGTTAGTTATCATAAAATTTTACAAGAGAGGAAATTTTATTTGAAAGAAAATAAATAAATGGAAATGGGTTGAATTTTAACGAAAAAAATATTGTAAAATTAAGTTGAAAAGAATGAATAAAAAGAAGAGAAAAAAAAATATATATAAGTAAATTTTTTTTTTGTGTTCTTATTAAACAGTTGATCCCGATTGGGAGTTCTCTGATACAAAATATCAAAGCCATCGATCTAGACATCGACTCTCTAAATTCTAGATTGACTTACAGAATTGAAGATGGTCCTTACTCGGTTTTATAAAATAAAGAAATAATTTATACTTGGGGCAACGCATCTTCTATGAAGAAAAGAAAAAGAAGGAAAGAAAGGGAAGGAAAGGAAAGTAAAGTAAAGGAAGGAAGGAAGGAAGGAAGGAAGGAAGGAAGGAAGGAAGGAAGGAAGGAAGGAAGGAAGGAAGGAAGGAAGGAAGGAAGGAAGGAAGAATAATTCGTACAATATATTTGTTATCTAAATCAATTTAGGATATAAAAAAAAATATTTAACAAATTTTTTTCGTGATGAATTTAAAAGGAATACTTTTCCATTCTCGATACCAGAATACCTACTGTGACTTTGGTCAAGCCTTTAGATTACGAAAAAATACGTTCCATGCATTGCACCATAATAGCCGAAGTGATTTGAAATAATATAATTACGTTTTTCATTTTTGATTTCATTATAATTTTATCTTGTGTCGAATACAAGTTAAAGCTGGTCTAATTTGGAGTTCTTGATAAATTCACGCAACTCTCTGATTTGAACCAAAATCTTGACTTCCCATTAAATTCCTATTAACTAACTATGTATTATACTAAAAATGCCTTATTAATAAATTTAGGCAATTGTCTAATTAGACCACGATTTAACTGTATATCAAATATAAAATTATTATAAAGGATTCTGGCCAGCCAAAATTGAAAAATTCTACCATCCTTAGAGTCACTATCCTTGACGGCGACGATAAAAATCCTTTGTTTTATCACAGCAATTATTGGGCTATTGTTCCGGATAATTATACCGAAGTAAAACAGAAATTCTTTCTTTCTTCTTTCTTTCTTTCTTTCTTTCTTTCTTTCTTTCTTTCTTTCTTTCTTTCTTTCTTTCTTTCTTTCTTTCTTTCTTTCTTTCTTTCTTTCTTTCTTTCTTTCTTTCTTTCTTTCTTTCTTTCTTTCTTTCTTTCTTTCTTTCTTTCTTTCTTTCTTTCTTTATTTCTTTCTTTAATCTTCCTCAATTTTCAACAAATTTTTCTTTGAGTTAAGTTTTACTTTATAAATTATCAAATTTTTTTTCCTAGTGGATAAGGAGGAGGCGATAAAATTTGCAAATATTTTTTTAATTGGTGGCATGACAAATTTTTCTTTTCATTCTTTTTTATTTTTGAAAAACAAAAACAAAACAAAATAGGAAGTTGAATTGCTAATTGAACCAGAGACTATATCGGCTTACGATCAAGACGAAGGCATAAAATCTCAAATAGTATATTCTTTTGAAGGGACAGTCAACAATGACACTACAGGTATACTAATAATGGAAGGAAGGAATGAATTAATAAAGGAAGGAATGAATTAATAAAGGAAGGAAGGAGGGAAGGAAGGAGGGAACGAAGGAAGGAAGGAAGGAAGGAAGGAAGGAAGGAAGGAAGGAAGGAAGGAAGGAAGGAAGGAAGGAAGGAAGGAAGGAAGGAAGGAAGGAAGGAAGGAAGGAAGGAAGGAAGGAAGGAAGGAAGGAAGGAAGGAAGAAGAATGGAAAGAAGACTATTGCTACATGAAGCGCTGTCGGTTCGTAGTCTCTAATTAAAAAGATATATTAGACGGGATATATATATACAATTTTTTTTTTTAAAAAATGTAAACCTAATTCTACCTTATATATTAGTGATCTGCATCGGGCCTAATTTTTCAAGCCCAACCAGGCCCGAAATTTTTTAAAAAAGTTTTGCCGGGCCCGGCCCGAACCCGATTTTTTTTTAAAAAAAATTTACCGACCCGACCCGGCCCGGCCCGAATATATGTAAATATAGAAATTAATTTTTATAATTACTCAAAATAAAAGACATATGTTATATGTCGTTTAGTTTCAATAAATAAAATCAAGTATTTTTATTTTACATAAAAAATTTAATATAAACTTGATAAATTTAGATATATTTTAAAAAAATCTCAAGGTCCGACTCTACCCGGTCCGAATTTTTTTTAAAAATATTAAGCCCGGCCCGGCCGAACCCAATTATTTAAAATAGAATTAGGCCCGAGCCCGGTCCGAAGCCCGTTCGGGCCGGATACGGGTCGGGTCTAACTTTGCAGATCTCTACTATATATATAATTTTGTTGCCAGATGACATAGAGAATTTTTTTATATTTAAGCGAATTAAAAATTTACGAAATTTAGCATTATATTTTTTAAAACAAAACCCCCTAAACGACATCGGTTGATACTTAGAAATCTTTTATTATAATCCAGTTTAAATAGTTTTTCTGTGTGAAGCAATCTATCGACTAAATCATGTGGCACTAAACAAACCAGTTAAAAAATAAGAGACTCGAGCACGTAATTCCTTTAATAAGAGGGGTCATATAACATTTTAATAAATTTTGGTCGGTATTTAGCAAATTAAGTTTATATTTAGAAAATTGCTATACGTTGATTTGGCAGTATCTATCATTAATTAACCCATTATTATTTACACAATTTATTAACAACAGATGATGAACTGTTCATGATTCATCCTATAACCGGCAAGATCTATATCAACAAAAAAATCCCGGAAAACGAAGCATACTTCATTATAATAAAAGTTTTACAATTTTATAGGTTAATGATGCTTACTACCTTAAGGTACTACCTACCAAATTTGAATTTTGTTTATTTTTCATTTGGATAGGCACTACCAAATATCACTTGGTAGTAAGCATCATTAACCAATTTTATACTTATAGAACTTTTCTAATTTAGACCACCATTTAAAACAAAAAATAAAATTCAAGATTTATCTGGATGAAAATATTTTTTAAATAATAGTTGTAGGAATATTATGAGTGTAATACATCTTAAAAACCTTTAAAAAAACTTTAAAAATACGTGTATCATCTGATCTATACAGCTATTTATTATACTAGGCAACGCAAACGGATAATTTTGATAGGTACGCTACTACCACGTTAAAAATTCACTCACCACGTTACAATCATCTGCAGGATAAAAATCACAACATGGTGGCTATAGGTATGGGTGACGAACCTTTAAAAATGAATATAAGTGAAGACGTCATACCGGGAACAATGGTTATGAGCCTAGGATCTAGGCTCGGTTCATTTTACCCCGTATTATTCGAGATTCCCATAACCGAAGGCAACGGCACAGCTTTGCCGTTTAATTTAACTCAAAGGTTTACATTGATAATTTAAAAAAAATATTTATGAACGTAGCCACTCTCAAGCCGAATTATATTAAGTTTCAATAGTTATTTATCCATAATAATCTAACAATATAGAAGCAGATTATTGTTAAAAAAATAACTCATCGTCATGATAATGTTATTAAAAATCATATTACACCTAATATCCCTCTTTGGGTGGCATCAGCCTAGTTCTAAGCTGGGATCTGACAGCTGGATTCATTTAATTTTGCTGAAAGTTAATTTGATATAAGGATACGCATATTCCCCCGCTGTAAAATAGATACCTAAGATTGCTCCAACCAGCAGTGAGTTCTCAGTTTAATTTCGCTAGAACATGGGGGGGGGGGGTGGTGGAAATTTAAATATATTTTTTTGTGAGAGTTTACCTACAAAGTTCTAAGCCATTTTTTTTGATATGGATTATAAAAACCATACGGACAACGCATTCATGAGGGAATTGGGGGTATTACGCCAAGATTTACCGCCCTATCGCCCAATATATTATTACTCACTACCCACTAAAACCCTATTCCTCGCCCCCTTTAAGATATTTAATGGCAAAATAGCTTATGTATATACTGCCTATGAAAAACAGAGAGTTTTAAGAAAAACTATCCATACCACATTTATATATATAAAAATTGCGAATTTACATTTTTTTTAGGGGTGATATTATAGTCACTCGTTCCCTGGATTACGAAAAGAAAACCTTTTACGAGATGGACGTGGATGTGATCTATATTAATGCCAACAAAGTTCGTTGTTTTAATTATTTTAAATTAATTAATTTTTTATTAAATTTTAAATTATAAATTTTGGTAACTGACTAGTCGATAGCGTTTTTGCTTTTTTTAAAAAATTATAATAAATGGAGACGCGAAAAGGCTCAAAGCTTAAATCAGCTGTCGAGAGGCCAGTTTTCATTTATAAAAAATATTATAAACGGAAATGAGACGTGTCACTAGCTGATTTGTATTCAACAATCTCAAAATGTACTTTAGTGAAAGGAATCTTCAGCCTCAGTGGCAATTAAGATATATGGGGTGGGGGGGAAGATGGTCTACTGTGCATTCTTCTAACCTCAGAAAAAAAATCATCTCTATATTTAAGAATGTCAAAACATTAAAGAAGAATAAAATAAATGTATATTACTGCGATTATATTTTGTGACACCTCCCTTCCCCCCCCCCCATCTATAATTTGAATTTTCTAATCGTTTTTAATTTAAAATGTATTGTCTTCAATGATGCGAATACTAAATAATTTGTAAATGGATTCCTAATTTTTGTCTTAGAAAAATTTGGCATCCACCCCCTTTTCCTTATCCGGAGTCAAATCTTAGATACGCCCTGTGGTTAGGTAAAGCGATATATAGAATTTAAAACCATATGGAAGTGTGAATGTTATATATATATATCCCAAGAACACGAAGTTATCCTGGCACATTTTATACACTGAATTATGTCCGTAAAAACCTTTAAAATATCAATTTATTTGTTCATTCCTTCTTTTCCTATCTTTATTTTATTTTTTTCACGATAATAAGGTTTTGTATAATATCGTTTTTCCTAGTGTTGTTAAATCAGCTAACTTTGACCATCTCAATTGTGGCTTAGTCAAGCTTTTAGGCCGCATTCATAGTGGATCCGATCCGACACGATTTAACAGCTGATCGATTTTTAAAATCTGTTTATGAGATCAATTTTTTTGTAATAATATTAATTTTGTCTATAATTCTTTACATGATAATAACCTAAGAAATATTGGTTTTAATAAAGAAAAATTGATTCTAATAAACCGATTTTAAAAATCGATCAGCTGTTAAATCGTGTTGGATCGGATCCACTATGAATGCTTAGCCCTAAAAAAATATAATTAAGCCTCTTAAGCTGAGTCTCAACTTGTCAACTTGAAGATTGATTGGAATATTTTTGATCAAAAACATGACTGCGCTGTTTTATAGTTGACTAAGATTAGGTAGTTTAACAGCACTTGTTTTTTTTAATTTTTATTTCTTGGTAAAAAAAATAAAAATTTAGACGGAGAATATCAAAGTCATACTGCACATCCTCAACGTGAACGATAACGCTCCCAAATTTTCCAAAGATTTTTACACCTTTCACGCCGAAAGGAAGAACGGGGGACTGGTAGGACAAATAAATGTAAGGGAATTTTTATCGATTAAACTTTATTTCAAAATTTTGAATAAAATGTAACTTTCGAGTCGCGAATTAACGCGGATCATAAAACGGATCGAAAAGACCGAACCGGAGCGAAGACCGTTTATTATTACATCGGATCGGACTTTTCATTGGCCACTTTTAATCGATTTCGTAAAATAAATTTAGTCCACTAAAAAAAAATATAATCTTGAAAAGAATCCTAATTTGGGCTGTTTATCTTCTTTTTCCTTTTTATTTTTGTAATTGTAAATGTAATTCTATTTATATATTGTTTATTATTTTTTTTCAAAACTTTTTTATCTTGCCATTTGAAAAACATCGTCTATGCATCTATATACAATGTGTTACTTTTTCAACTGTAACCTTGAATTCATAGTGGCGCGATTGCGATTTAGCAGCTGATCGATTTTTAAAATGTGTTTTTGATATCAATTTTTATTTATTAAATATTAAATTTAAATCTTTAATTCAATTCAGAATAGTAATCTAAATGAATTTAATAAAGAAAAATCGATCTCACAAACAGCTTCTAAAAATTGATCAGCTGTTAAATCGCGATCGCAATCGTGCCAGAATTCAAAGTAAATCATTTTTTTGAGCGCGTTTTTTTAAAAAAATTTAAAAATTTGATTTTACCGGAAATGTATGCCCGCCATGTTTTGGAATCACTACCCTACTAACCTTAGACTATATTTCTATGAACTTTTAAACTTAATTATAATTTATATTAAATTTTCCATATATTTATATATATATAAATTATAAATGATTCCAAGGTTTTAACATCAAAATTGTACACAATTCTTAAGATGGGTATTCCAAAAAAGATGGAATATTTCCTGTAAAATCCAATTTTTAAAAAAAAGAAGCCGCTCAGAATAATGATTTAAAGTTATAAAAATGACACATTACCGGAAAAAACACATTGACGTTAACATATTTTACCGGAAATATATTCTAGCATGTTTGTAATAAACTATCTTTTGAATTGTAGACACACTTTGCTGTTAATCTTTGAGTCATTTTTAATTTATATAAAAAAAAATATACATGGAAAATTTAATATAAATTATAAGTAAGTTTAAAAGTTCATGGGAAAATTATCTGAAATCCATAGGGTAGGTATTCCAAACATGACGGCATACATTTTCCGGTAAAATCAGATTTTGAAATTTAAAAAAACGCGCTCAAACATTGCCTGCAAAAAGCACATTGGCGATAACATATTTATATATAAAACGTATTTTTTAAAAAAAATAAAATAAATAATAATATTTTTTTAAATAGGTAACTGATGGCGATAACGATGATATGGAACTCAAAATTATTGGATCCAAGTATATATAAAAGATTGTTAATGATTCCGATATACCCCAAATTCCTCTATTAATTCATGACATGAATTCTGTCAAATATTTAAATCCAGTCGTTTATTTATGGTGGGGGGGGGGGAGTGTAATGATGCTAACTTCTGTAGCTTAGTTGGTGATAAGCTAGATCACCAATTAGATCTGGGTTCGAAATCAAGCACCATTTTTTTCTGGAGCCAACTAGGCGGTTTTGTGCTACGCGGTATGATAATATAAAATACTCCTAAGATACCGCCAGATTCTGCCATTTAATAATTTTAGAGATAAGTCCTTTATTACATTTTAACAAAAAAAATTTATTTTTTGTTTAGCAAAGGGGTCTAACAGGATTTATCACTAGCCGAATTTATTTACGTCCTGCGACATATAATATAAATGTTCGGTTAAAAAAAGAGTGTTAATTAGAGTTTAAATATAATGCGTATGTCGTATTGGAATACGGAATCCATGGGGATGGATTCACTCAATTTTAAATCATTTACCGCGAACCATTTTTAAAATTTTTAAAAATTCTGATTTAAACCGGAAATGTATTCGAGCATGTGCAGGGTGCCATCCCTATTAATAAATTTTGGACAATTTCCGCCATAAAATTACTTATTTATTAATTTATAAGAAAAAAAATTAATATAAAAATTACGACCAGTTGGTAAAATTGTCTGAAATTGACAGTACGAGTAACTTACATATGCTTGAAATAGTTTTCCTGTCCAAATTTAGATTTTTGAAACCATCGGGTAAATGATTTAAAAATTTGGGAGATTAGATATCCCAAATAGGACATATATATATTAAAATTTATATAAATTATACGTAAGACATTTTACGATCGATAAACATGGCAATATCTTTATGTTCGATCCCGAAAAATTGACAGAAGAAATCTATGAAATAACTCTGTTAGCCATAGATAAGGGTACAACCCGCAGAACTGCCACTTCTCAAATTCTAATCAAAGTTTATTTTTTTTATTGAAACATGGAATGAAGGAAATGGAATGAAAGAAAGGGGGAAGAAATAGGTATAATATGGGAACAGAAGGAGTAACAAATATGATATATTACTTTATTCTTTACAAAAAAAAATTGTATTTTTTCCTATCTAGCTGCCTCCATTAAATCTCACTTCTACAAACAGTTTAATAGACGGTTCCGATAACAACAAGTATAAAGGTTTTTGGGAGAAACGAGACAATTATTTGATAATCATGGGAGCACTCTTAGGGTTCGCCCTCGTATTTATATTACTCCTGTCGATACTCATAGCCAAAAAGTAAAATTTTATATTGTAATATATTCGTGAACTTTTGGAAAGATAAATATATATATTTTACAAAAAATATAGTATAGAATGGAATAAGAATGAAAATGAAATAAAATTAAAATAAGAATTAATATGAATATGAATAAGTAGTATAACTTGAATAAGAATAAAATTGAAAAGAATAAGAATAAATAGGAAAAAAATAAGGATAAAATAGAATGGAAGTATAAATTACGTTTCTAAAGTATTATAATGTTCGTTGCATATACTTGTCATAAATATATACGCTTATTATATAACTAACAAGATGTTACTTAATTTACTTACCTTTTAAAATTAAATCATAATAACAAAGCAGCTACTAATAAATTTGTATAAACGCATCACAACATTTTATTATACATATTTTTTTATGTTCCAATTTTCGTCTCGATTATAAATGCTTACTTATTTATTGCTTTATTATAATATTATATAAAATATTTATACTAATAATTTTTTTTGTATCATTGCTACATGTATACATTGACTATTACTATTGCCATATGGTGGCAGTGGTATATCTAGGATTTTCTTCCAGGAAAGGAGGGGAGATGTTGAATGTCCAGTTGACACCTTCTCAAATACGCCAATCCTATAGGTGACGAAATTTCCGGAAAATACAAAAATTTTTCTTCTTTAAATCAATATTGTAATCTTTTTTAAGCCATAATGCAACCCTGCATTTAGAGTTATTGTGAATTCGCGGCGAATTCAATGACATATAATGATACCTAGACTGACGATGCATTCATCAAAAGTGTACATCAATGAAAACAGCTGGAGATGCCATTTTGATTACCCATATCATTATTAAAAAATTTTAAACGAGAGCCCAATTTATTCTTATGTCGGACGCAAACTTTATTAAATAATTGCCCGATCCTCGAGATAATAAGGAAGCTAGTTATCAATTTAATAGTAGTTTTTTAACATGAGAATAATTACTATATGGGTTACCAAAATGGCGGGTTCGGCTGATTTGCATTCAACGACACTTTCAAATGCATTATTATGAATGCATCGTCTTATTATATGTCATTGATACAATGCAAGGTAAGATATATTTAGATCTAAAAAAGGTTCCAACTTGTATAAATCATTTTATTTGAGGCGTCATACATAAGGATAATACATTTTTTTTTCTTAAAAAACTATAAAGAAAGACAATGTTTTTATTTTCTAAAATAAATGTTCGTTTATTGCTTTTTATCATCGACAAAATTTGATAAAACCTTTAAAGTTAATTATAGAACGACATCATGAAGAGGAGCCGTGCAGGAAGATGATCCCGAAAAATATCAATTAATGACAGCCTCTTCCATAAACTTCAAGTATTATGAAATTCAGTTTGGTTTCTAGAAACTTGTAGTTTAGAAAACTTAAAAATGCCTCTTATCCGCTTTGCGACTCTAATCTTTTCCGTAGCAAAAAAAAAATTCCTTATTTTTTTTCCCCCGCCTTATCAACTAGTTAGCTTACTAACCTAATTAACTAACTCGGCTATATAAAACTATTACTAATAAAATTTGTTCGCTAATTAAAAAGAAGAATAAAGAAATACACGAAAGATTATGTTTTCAAACAAAAAAATAAAAAAAATAATAATATATAATTAGAAAAAAATCACCCGATAAAAAATGGCTAAATTCTTGGAACTACATCTGGAAGGTTTCCAAGTAATAATAATAATAAATATTTAAATTTATTTTGAAAATATATAAAATCCATTTGAGCCACCTTTTTATATAAAAACGGTACATACGAATTTGTCGGTTAATTCCAATGGCATATATAATGCCTAGACTGACGATTCATTCATTAAAAGTGAGTGTACATCATTGCGAATCAGCTGGAGACGACGCCATCTTGGTTACACTAATCATTATTTAAATTTTAAACGAGAGTGCCTAATTTATTCCTACATCTGATGCAAACTTTAATTAATTAAAGAATTACCGGATCATCGAGAATAATAAGGAAGCAAGTTATCAATTTAATAGTAGTTTTTTAGCATGAGAATAATTACTATACGCGTTACCAAAATGGCGGGCCCAGCTGATTTGCTTTTAACGACGCTTAGAAATGCATTTTAATGAATGAATCGTCAGTCTAGGTATTATACACGTAATTGGTTAATTCTCTTGTTTCAAAGAACCGATTTTGGGATCGATTTTTTAAAGATAATCGGCCGGATTAAGATTTTTAGCCAAAATAATAATTATGTTAAGTTTCTGGAGATTTTGTTCATAGATTCGGAAAGGTTTGGACATCTATTTGGTAAAAAAATTCTCGAGGCGTATATAATTTTTTCTTTGGCTAAAATTCCTATATTCGGATTATTTTTTAATCGACATATCAGTGTGTATAGTGTCTCTTTTTTAAAGTTAAATAAGTATAAACAACTTTATTCAAGTTAAAGAAATGACAATATACTCGCATCTTTTCAAGTTATTCATTTTTTATATTAGGTTTAATTAGTATATATTATATGACAATATACTCGCATCTTTTCAAGTTATTCTTTTTTATATTAGGTTTAATTAGTATATATTATATTAATCATTTCTTTGATCGAAATTTTCTCTCTCTCTCTTCTCTTCCTCTTCTCTCTCTCTTCTTCTTCTTCTCTCTCTTCTCTTCTCTTCTCTTCTTTCTCTCTCTCTCTCTTCTCTTCTCTTCTCTCTCTCTCTTCTTCTCTTCTTCTTCTCTTCTTCTTCTCTCTCTTCTCTTCTCTTCTCTCTCTCTCTCTTCTCTTCTCTTCTCTTCTCTTCTCTTCTTCTCTTCTCTTCTCTTCTTCTTCTCTTCTCTCATATTTAAATATATATTTAAAACTGAGTTAAGTGTATACGATCTAATTATTAAAAAATTTAACATAACGTTATTTATAAAAAAAAATACAAACTTTAAAATCAAAGAACAGTCAAAAAATCCCCCGTGGTTAACATAGCTACGAATGCTATTAAAAATGCACAAGACAATGAGCGAAAGCAAATGACCCCGAAATAAAAGGATAAATAAATTTATTAGCTCAATTTTTTTTTTTTTTAAATTTCAATATGTTTACATTTTATATACTATAATTTAAGAAATTATACTAAATATAATAATTATGTGAATGTGCTAGTGTTGTTGAACGGCACTCAATATTTTATCCAGAAAAATATTACGCAAAAAACCTGAAGATTTTTTTCTCATAGATTAGTACGCAATGGTTTGGATATCTATTAGGGTGAAATCTCGAGGCTTACTTAGGCAATATTTTTCAGGCTAAAATATTGAGTTCGCCATTTTTAAAAATCTGCTCAAATCGAGACCCCTTTATAACAACATTATTGTGGTGCTCTAAAATATATTGATCGCGGTGTCTTTCAAAAATCTAAAAATGCATTATAATTTACGTAAATAAAATAGTTATATAATGTTTTATTACATGTATTTATGATTATTATAATTATATGATTAAATTAACACCTTGTATACCTAGTCATTTCATCGAATTTATAAAATCAACTCATATATAAATATCATGAATATCGAATAAAATAAATATTTATCATTTGATTTTCCCTTCGAAATATATATATTATATAAGGACGAGTTTGTTCAAAAAAAATAAATAATTAAACTTATATTGAATGCTATGTTCTCAAAAAAAAAGCAAATGGTGTAAATCTACCAATAGGGTCAGCGATAAATACCCGGAAAATGGCAGGAGGTCACTCAATTCTTCGACAAACTCTAGACTATCGCGTTACTTTAACCAAGAACAACCACCCAGGGTGAATGGAAATTTACATTCCTCTTCTATACACCCTATTACCTATACCTCCAATGTTCCACCGGAACATAACAACGCTATTCCCGTGGACCGTAGAGGGCATATCCCATTTCCAAATAATGTATACCATTACAACTCCACTGCTTATAATATCAAGTTTGTTTCTTTTATATTATCAAATCTACGCTTTTCAAAATACTTTCTATATTAAATGTCGTTAGCCCAGAGATTTTTTTTATGGAAATGGGGGAAGGGTCAGAATTTTATGGGATTATAAGCGTTGTTAAACGACTTTATTTGAGCAGATATTTAAAAACGGATATCTCAATATTTTATCTAGGTAAATTATTGTCTAAATCTCGAGATTTCGCTAATAGATTTCCAGACCTTTGTACCGCATCTATGATCAAAATTTTCAGGCCTGCGTGATAATTTTCTGAATAAGATATTTAGTCAGTCCCTTTTTAAAAATCGGCTCAAATAGAGCCGTTTAACAACATATTGTATAGTTGTATACTATGCTTTATTCCATATATATATAGAAACAACAGCCACGGGTACGTACCTTTTAACACAAGCTACAATCCTTACATGGCTCAAGGGATGACAACAAAATCGGATTACGACAAAACGAATGATATAGTAAACTCCCTTAATTCACCATCAAATAATATGGTTTTACTTAATAACCCTTTGACTAAAAATGACAAAGATGACTATAAGACACTATTAATAACTGACGAACATCACGTTGCTGCACGTGCTGCTCAAACTATTCAATCACAAATTTCCGGAAATTTTAAGGATCGGGATATCTTTGGCATAGATAGTACTATTCCTTCGCATTCTCAGCCTTTCCAGCATACCGATATTATTGGTATACGAATATAATATTTTAGTTAATAATATCTATAGAAGAAAAAAAAATAATATTTTTGAACATTTCAAGAGTAACAAAAAATTTAACATGAGGTCATTTGGTATGCTACTTAGACACGAAGCGAAACTTTATAGGCTTCAGGCATATAGGGTTAGCTGAGATTTTATGGTGTAAAAATTGGGTTCGAGGCTGTTAGAAAGTCTACTCGCATTGCCATAGAGAAAAAAACCCCACTATACATGCCGTTTTATCTATTGTTAATTCATTATATAATTATTAAAATATATGTTCATCAGATGTGAATAGTCTAAATAACGGCTTACCAATAACAACAACTTACAACGATATAAGGCACTTTCCTAATTCAAATTCGCAGGTATATCAGTGGAATATACAATTTAAGCTTGAGATTTATCATTTCAATCGTGCTAATTATTTTAATTTTAAATTAATAATTTCTAAAAATGTTAGCCTTTAAAATGGTACATTGACTTTGCAAATTTTAATTGTTAGATTATACTTTATATTTTTATAATTGTATATGAACTTTACTTTACAGTGCGAAAGTGTTATGTATTTAATGAAAAACAAACTAATCTATTATAATATAATTAAGGCTTAATAAGAGATGTGGTAATGTTAGGGGGTGGGGGGTACTCTTGATCATTTTTATATTAAAATATATATAATCGAAAGAATTTACAACTCTTGGCTATTCGCATTCTTCAAACAACTTAAGTCTAGAATAATATGCTTTCCTCTCAACTAGGGAACGTGGTGAACGCATTGTGATATATCCTAATAAAATTAGAGATTTTTCCTTAAAATAAAACTTAAATGTGAAGCGAGAGTGAAAAGAAAATATGAAAATATATCATAGGTTTCGATTACAAATCTCTATAAATACAGTTTTATTAGACTCTAACACAGGATAGTTTCCATTAAAAGTAATTTTTTAATATATCCCCCCCCCCTTTACCCCATCTTCCACGAAAAAAAAGAGGCGTGTGGACACTTTAATTAAAGGATTAAATTATATTTAACATAAGTTGTCTATAGTTTTATTTCAACCTATAAAACCAAATTTTGATGTATAATAAAAATTATAAATCATTAGGAAATGTCTAATCCATTAACATACGTCAATTCTTACATAAAAGAACCCAGGTAAAATGTAATCCTATTGTTGTTTTTTGTTGTGTCACAATTTGTTGTAGTCATTGTTGTGCATGGAATTTGATGTCTATAATAATTTTCGAAAAGGAGTTAAATTTGTGTTCCGTTAATTTTATATTATATTCACAGTGAACCCCACCATTTAATCAACGGACCACTTTTAATATCCGAGGATAGAGACTTTGTAAGCCAACGGTCACCATCATTGAGTAGTCATAAAAATGTTGACACAGTTAATCATATGCAAAGTAACAGTTCGCCCTTAAGTGACTCTTTAAATGTAACGAAGAGTAGTAGCCTACAAACGCATCACTGCTGCAAATTCCATTCTATGATCCCTAGGATCAAAATATGCCCAACTACTGTTATGTTAACCAAATAAAATTTCAGTTATTGAAAATGCGCAAAAGCTTATCAGTATTAATATAGTTATCGTTGTTTATTTTATAAGATAAATATGTGTAAGTGAAGTATTTACAGTATTTCAGGTTAAGGCTAGACATTTATTTTCCCCCTTGTTTAAACTGCTATTTTTATACCTTAGAATATAATCGACCCTTGGTTGATGTCAAATACGGCTGTTTCAAATATTCCCAAGGACAATCTCTCCAAAAAGTGTATAAAAATTGCGAACCCATCTCAAATCGAAGCCCTGAATTACCATGGTCACCATAGGCCAAATCCAAATGGTTCTAATCCATTCCTGAGTTATAATGGACAAATGGCTACAAACGGCGGTTTGCTTCCCATTTTCGGCCAACCAATTATGATAGAAAAGGAGTTTAATAACGGCGGCAACCAAGGCACGCTTTACACATTTACTTCCCATTTAGGCGTTCCTTCTAACCCACTAACCAATAAGGTCAATAAAGAAATTTATCCCGCTAGATACGACTCCAATATCATAGATTTTAATAACCACCAAGGCGATAAAATGATAAATAATTCGTATACCACTGACAGCGATTACATTTGCAACAATCGATACAAGCTTAAATGCGGCAATAAATACAGTTTAAATCGGGGACATAATTTGATTAAAAAACATAAATTCGGCCAAATTTTACCTTATAATCCAGACATGTCAGTCTATTTTTGAATGTCGAATTATTATTTATTTTTTTTCCGTATATTTTTATATTATAACATAAGCGAATCTCCCATTTGTCATTTTGTTGATGCCAAAAATCATTCATCGCCATGATTTTTAAAAAAATGGAAAATTAAGTGGTATAATATTTAATTTTTTTTCTTTAAATTGAATTATTATTACTTTTTTTTAAAAATGAGTTTTCTTAGTAAAAAGGCGAATCTCGACTTCTTAGAAAACCCTTAAAATTGCCGAAATTTAGTCAAGGGGTTAATATTGCTATATTAATATAAATATTTCGAACAAAATTTTTTTTTTATATATATGTATATTTATTATTGTCACATCGTTATTATAAAAATCCTTTGAATAAAATTCAAACCTTCGCGTCTCGCATTTCCATATTCGCTCATACTATAAAAGTTGCCAAACTATTTATATATAAAACTTATTTTATATTTTTTAAATGTGATTAATTCACCAATAATTTTCTTTTTATATTTTATAGTTATTAATTTTATCAACCCGTGTATAATATTTAATGAAATATACATAAATATATATATATAAAAAGAAAGAAAATTTGATGTTTTATTTTGCCTTTCAATCTCTACACACCATAATGTATAAGTTTTTTTTATATAATGAATGAAAGCAGGGCTGGCACTCATACAGGATTGATTTGTCTCAAGATCAAAAAAGTAAGAGGCCGGCAAGATTAAAATTATACCAGTGCCTTTGCAGGTATCGCCTCTTTATGTATAAAGGTGTGGTTCCTAGTATAAAATTTTTAAGTGTTCATCGATTAGTAAGTCCATCCGGTTTCGAGATTCATATTCGTTACTTCCGATTTATTTCGGGTTTTATAAGTCTATATGTGATATTTTTTATTAAAAGAAAACCTTGGTGTTAAGGTATTTTCTTTTAAAATATCCCCCAATCCTAATAAAGCCCCTTTAAAAAAAATTTCCCACTAACACCTCACAGTTGGAAAAACTGGCTTAAATGGGATCCAAGAAGATTAATTTCACTTTCTTTAATAATTTGAAACCCCAAGATTTTTGAGGGCATTTGAATTTCAAAAACATATTTGAGTAAGATAATTATATTCAATGAATTCAATTCTATATAATCTATAGCTGCTAAAATATTTTTTAGATAGTTCGCAGATAGTGCCATCATTCAGATTACTTATGTTTATGTCTAAATTAAAAATGTTTTTGAGAATGAATTAGTTTATAAAGCTATATATGAGAGGACCTAAGAGAATGAATTAGGTTATGTATTGCCTAAACTAGATATAAGAGAATCCAAGGGGTTTCCTTGTGGCATACCCTCACCAGAAGGAATAGCTTAAACATAAAAATTTGAAAGGGGTTCTACAGCCATATGACTCTTCAATAAATTTTGCATACACTGGAAATTTTTCTTAAAAAATGCTTCTAAAAATTTTTCATAAAGAATTAAAACCATTTTTAAAACTAAGGACTACGCGACTAGAGAGTGTGTGGGTATCTCGTATTTCCTTGTCTTGAAAATTCTTGAAGCATCGAGTTTGATACGCTCAACGCTTATCTTAATAACTATCAGTCTCTTAAAAATAGACCATTTTGAAACCCCACCATCAGGCTCAGATAGTACAATTAATCTGGCACCAAATAGGAGTTGATGAACTTGCCTCCGTTTAATATATTTTCACTATGTATAATCAATGAATTTACATATGTATCAACTTTCAAGGGTAATAAAATTGGGAACAAGATAAATCTAAAACCGTCAATTCCTCCCTGCTGAAATTATTTTAAAAGATAGAACAGTTTTAATAAGTTCTTCCTTGCATATTCAAATTGAATTTAAGCTTGTTGGAGTGGGGGATCTTCGGCAAGAGTGCATTCATTTTTAAATAGAGTACAAACATGTTCCTCAAACGGGGCCTATTTCATTCGATGAAGGTAATTTGATAACTCGTCCCCTTGGTCAATGTTCTTCAAAATTATTTGATTTTTTAGGGAAAATTAGAAGTGGCCCTTATATATCAGGTACATAATTTTTCATTCCTAAATCATAAAAATGATTATGTAAAGACGTTTATTTCAAATTTGTTATTAAAATTTAGATCTTAAATGGAAAGGTTAAAAGATTTTCCCATGAGGATAAGCATTTTGAATTATAAGGGAGGGGAGGGGGGTGAGAGTGTTTTAATTTCAACCATATTTGTGCAAATTTTATTTGGAAGGGTTTAACTGAAGTTTATCTATGAATTTAATCTTATCCCAATGTATATAAAAACAAATAGTTTAGGATAAGGTTAAATTTTTATGAAAAACAATTGCAAATGCTTGGGTCAAATTGGGAATATAAATGATATTTCCTCCATTTTTAGCGATTTTTTTTTAAAAATACTCAATTTAAATACAAGCGTTTACTTCCCTAATATCTATTAATATCAACTTTCTTTCTTTCTTTCTTTCTTTCTTTCTTTCTTTCTTTCTTTCTTTCTTTCTTTCTTTCTTTCTTTCTTTCTTTCTTTCTTTCTTTCTTTCTTTCTTTCTTTCTTTCTTTCTTTCTTTCTTTCTTTCTTTCTTTCTTTCTTTCTTTCTTTCTTTCTTTCTTTCTTTCTTTCTTTCTTTCTTTCTTTCTTTCTTTCTTTCTTTCTTTCTTTCTTTCTTTCTTTCTTTCTTTCTTTCTTTCTTTCTTTCTTTCTTTCTTTCTTTTCCTTCTTTCTTTCTTCCTTTAGTTCTTTCGTGCTTTTAAGAAAGAAAAGGAAGGAAGGGTGTACTTATTAGTTTACATCAATAATTTTATTGCGAATCAAAATTAAGATCTACAGTGGCAAAATTTTTTTAATTCATGAATTTTCATGCAATGTGAATGGGTCTCGTAATAATCCAACGAATATATTTCGGCGTCTTTAAAAATTCTGGAGGCGTTTTGCTTGTCGAAAACTAATGTCGTTTCAAATACAGCTTCATTGACGACAACTTTGAATACCAATATGAACCCTTTTAGCAAACCGAATATTCTGGTTAGTAGAATTTTATTGATTCTAACATTTCCCGTTTTAGTGATATTAGTATTTAAATGTAACATGGAGAGCATTTGAAAATCTTGGATACTAGTTTGGTCGTTTGCTACCAAAATGGCATTCATTATAGTATGCAGTTTCAATTCATCCATTAAACAAATACGACTATAATTTGATAAGATATCTTCTTTGATCTTCTTAAGTATTAAATCGACGCCATATACGATGAGCTTAGATAGACCCAATGCAAGTTGATCTTCATCCAAGGAAGCTTTTTTGAAGAATTGTGAAGAAGAATCTGGTTTTATCCAATTACACGGACAATAACGAGTGGGTATATTAGCCGATTCGCAAGTCCGATCTTTTGGTATGAGCTGTAGCAAACTTAGACCCCTGTTATTACCTATATCACTGGGGTATAATGTGTAATAATCTCCAGGATTATCGGTTACGACCAAAGAACCTCGTTCAATGTTCGTAATCTCAAGCAAATGGAGCAATGTTTTATGGAAATCGAAAGGGGTTATTAAACTCCGAGTGTTGGCTTCGAATATGGTCTCGTCTTGATTGTATTGGGTAAAGAAGTCATCGGGCGGGATTGCTAGAAGAAAAGGCATTCGGTCTTCGAACATACCTGTTGACGATATTAGATTAAATAATGATATTAAAAATAAAATTATTTTAATATGAAACGCATATAAACCATTTAAAGTCTGTCGAAATGACCCAAATCTTAAACCGTGATCCCCGAATAGGAAGATAAATGTATTATTTAAGCCTTGACTTTCTATCAGATCCTTAAAATAATCAAATAAAAGTTCATCCACGTCATCTAATCCCTGTAGTTGCGAGTGAGTATATCGAGTTATAAAGTTAAAATTAAAATAAGGTTGGTTTGATTGTTCCATTTCCCGAATCAACTCATTTGAATAATCCAACAACATTTCAACCTCATTTCTGCCATACACACAACAATAATCCTTAGAGGATAGACTGCGCATCGTCTTTTCCAATTGCAGCGTAAATGGTCTGAAATAGAATTGAGAAGGCGACCGATAAAATCCGTCGTACATATTGTATGTTGACATATAAGGTTCATCCTCTAGGTAAATGCTGGAATAACCGTGTTTTTCGTATTCACGCCATATCAAACTGATATTATCGAAATAGGTATTCTCATGATTCGGAATTTCCCATATATACTTTCCGGTTAGCAGCGCGTTCAAATTTGGGAACGTATTTTCTCCTATCTTGGCGTATCCGTTGAAAGTGAAGACATTTTTTCTTCCACGTTTCAAGTATTCGTAAGTTTTGAGCAAACTTCTCTCGAAATTCTTATTTGATGTTGATTCTATCCCCATAAGTAGTACATTAAACTTGGGCATTGATACTTCTTTACCATTTTTGTGAGATGGTTGTGACTTGATGTAATGAGACACAGATTCTCGGACAACCGTATGAACATTTCGATAAATTACTGACTTGCCATTATCGAAACATCTGACTCGTATAAATATATCGAAATTCTGATTGACATCGTCAGGTTTTTTAAAATGAGTCGAATTTACATCGACCGTAATGTCATATTTAAACTTGATCGATTTCGTGAGAGTGACACTATCATCTGGATTGCCCGACTTGATATCCCTCAAAATTCGTTGGTATTTGCAATTTTTAAAATTATCGTCGCCACCGTAATGAAGCCTTAAAGCCGTCGAATTTACTAATATATTAAATGTAGAAAAAACGTGTTCATTTTCCGATCTTTCCTGCTTTCTATCCGAGTCAATATAAGTCAAAGGAACCGTCTTGCCTGGTACGCAGTCTAATTGCATATTTAGTTCATCTTTTTCCGAATAATCTATATCATTCTTAGAAGAATTCAATTTTATTATTTTGCAATGCGGTAGAACAAGATCAAAATCGGTTAATTCTTTTGAAAAATTTTGAGTTGAAATAGCAGAGGAATTCCTCCTTGAGTGATTATTAGTTTGAAGAATTTGAATCGATATTTCATGTTTCAAATACGAAGTATAATAATAGTAATTGAATATGCACGTGAATATTGTCATCGTTATAAAAATCCACAATTTCTTGATAAGATCTGACATTTTTCTCTGGCAAATGGGTCATAAATGTTTATTATAATAGATTAATAAAATAATCCTCAATTATCTTCTATTATTAGGGTATGGGGTTTTCAATTTCTTAATAAATCAAAAATTATATATACAATATTGAAAATTATAATTTTCAATATACCCCCCACCCCTCCTAACTTCTTCCCGAATAAATAAAACATCAAATTTAAAACAAAATATCTATTTTTATTTTTATTTACATTAATTAATTTATTATTTTTAAATGTGTATTTCAAATCGTTGAGTAAAATTTAAATTTAAAATCACATATTTTAGTCCATTTGGATTCTAAATGGAAATTCATAATTTATAAGATTACTCTCCGAATTTATAGGCCTTCGAGAAATATTTTTCTTTCTCTAAAACAGGTGCAAAGCGTTTTTCCCGGCAATGTGTTATTTTTCCAATTTTAAAATTATCATTTAAGCGCGTTTTATTTTAAATTTTAAAAATCTGATTTTACCGGAAATGTATTCTACTCTGTTTGGAATAACATACCCTATGAATTTCAGGACAATTTTGCCATGAAGTTCTGAAAAAAATATAATTTATATTAGTTTTTCCATAGATTTTTCACATAAATTATAAAAATGACTCTAAAGGGGTAAAATTATCTACAATTCCTAATATAGGTAATTCTAAATAAGCTGGAATATATTTTCGGTAAAATTACATATTTAAATTTTTTAAAAACGCGCTCAATAAATGATTTAAAGTTGAGAAAATAACATATTTGCCGGGAACATACAATCGTTTTATTTATTATAATATTAAGTTTAGTCGGCTAACTCAATATTTTAGCCAGCAAGGCCAACCTGAAGGGTCATAGATGGCACAAAGGTTTGGGACATCTAATTAGCAAAATAATCTCGAGGCTTGTGCAATGTTTTTCTGTGGCTAAAATATTGAGTTAGTCGTTTAGTCGTCTAAAAACACTAATCATAAGCATTATAAAACTGAACCTATTTTTAATGGTATAAAGGCGCACCATAAAATACATGTATTACGGTTCAATTTAACCGATTCTTAAATTAAGATTATACACAAGCCTCAAGATTTTCTTTAATAGATGCCCAAACTATTATGTTCATCTACGAGGAAAATATCCAGTCTTGCTTAATATATCAAGGCTATATTATTGGGTTAGTCGGTTTAAAAAAATCTAGCCGTTTAACAACACTACCCGTAAATAGCTATATCAAAATCAATTTTCGAATTTGGAAACCGCAGTTTAATCTGACCATGAGATTCGAATTAATCTTATCCATTAGGAAAAATAAGTTTCTCTTATGCGATAAATATAGCGCCTTAATTATGGGGGAGGACTCCATATGAGAAAATTTTAAATCTAAAATTTCCTCATATTTGTAAAATTTAAATAAAAATATTTTACACTAATAAACTCTCTTTCGGTAGCCGAGATAAGAAAAAAATACAAATAAATAATTCAGAGATAAACAGTATTAAATTCGTTCCTTTTGTCAAATCAGGAGCGTTACAATCCCCAGGGGGATTACGAAAACACGTGGGATTGAACGATTTGGTCTAATTTCACAACTTCCTTTACCTCATCCTCTACCCCCCCCCCCCTTCCTCTTACTTTAACCAAAACCCATATATTATCATGATTAAGCGATCTCTAATAATTCCCCACCACTCTTCGATTTTCGGCTTGAAGATCTCATGGAAGAGATCCTACGTTATATTAGAGAATTTCAAAAATGTGTTTTTAACTTAAATGATGTTTTATTCATTTTGAAGGACCCGATTGATTGGTTTCTGCGCCACGGGGTATGAATGTTGTTTAGCAAAAATTTGGTCCGTTGTTTAGTATATATTCACACAATTTAAAATGACTTACAAATTTATTAATCGCTTTTCTTTTATTTTTTAAAAAATTATATACATTTAAAATAACATGTAAACTATTTGTAAAATAAAATTTATATCCGTTCTAACTGCATATCCATACATGGGTCTATAAGCCCCGTTGATCACACTTAATTAAATGTTTAATTATTATTTCATTTAATATAGTTTTTATATAAATTTATAAATTGAAGAGATTAAAATTAATAAAATGAAATGCATATATTTTATTTAGGGGTAGCTAGAGCTGATGAGCCATTTCTCAAGAAACTTATACACATTTTTTATGAAATGTGTTTAATTGATTATTCGTTAAAATCAATCAAATTGCTTGTCTTTGGTTAACTAATTAACTTAGGTTTTTTCCAAAGTCATATATTAATTTATGAAACAAATATTAATGATCAATTAGTAGTTGTGTTCATTTAATACTCTCACTAAACTTGTATATCAATTACTCACTCGTTAATTAATTTCTCAAAAACTTTATATATTTTTATGAAAATCGATATCATCTTAATCAAATAGTGTTCGATTTAATTCAAGATTAAAATTTACGATATCTTAAATTTTTTTTTTCTTCTTTTCAATAACTTAACATGTTTAATAATATTATAATGTTAGATATCATCTTTCAAATTAGATATCTGTACATATCTTTGGGGCAGATAATAAATTATGGAAGGCGCCATATTTATTCAAGATTGATGGGTGCATAGTAAGGTTGCGCTGCCGAATTTCACTGATTTTTTTAAAAAAAATATTATAAAGAAAAATTTAATTTATTTGTTCTCTAACAACAGTAATGTTGTTAAACAGCTCGATTTGAGCCGATATATATTGATATATAGAGAGGGTGGGGAAAAAATACCGTTATACTTGTTCTAGGGATGCTAGATATAGTTTTGTTTAAGTCCCGATATTTTAATTTGACGTTTATTGAATAAATCTCTATATATATAATTTGATTTGCAATAAACAGGTTTAAGAAGCCCCTTGATGTGGTTTGCCTCATCCCACTATAGGAGCTTGTTGAACATATCACTCAAAAAAATTAAAATTTAAAAAAAAAATGATTATATTCTCAAAATTTTTTATAAGGCACCTTTATAGTGTATAGTTTTAGGTATATATTAATTTTTTTTAAAAAACCAGGAGCTATAACCAATTTTGTAAAAATCGGTTAAACTAACCCAGTCTCCCCTACTATTCGGGACATCGAGGTGGGTAGCCCACTTGATTCTCAATCCAGTCCTAAGCTCGGTTCAACTCGACTTAGAAGTTGCTTTTAAGTATATTTTTCCCAACATTTTCTGTGCGGAATCGTTCATTTTTGTTATAAATATTAAATCGGTGTTTCTGCGGTTAAATAATCGTTTAAAATGCTGAGCCAGATTTTTTTGGAAGAATAGAATTAAATGTTGAAATAATATGTGTTGTGTTGATATTATATTATCGATCTTCGAAGTAAATTTAAAAATATTCTTTTGCCTCGTTTAAATGTTCAGATTTATCGTTTGAGAATAAAAGTAAAGCACTACACAGCAACAGAAATCTCAAATAAATGGAATAATTTATCATAACGAAGAATTTTTAATTTAAAAAAAAGTTATTTCTACAGAAAAAGAGAGATGCTGAATATCGTTAACATTTTAGGATTAGAAAGTGTTTCTGAACTCAAAGTCGCATCCCATATATTTGCACCATATTGAGTAAAAAAATTTTTTATATATAAAGTAGAAAAATATTATTAAATTTAAAAAATCTAATTATGTTTCTCTGCGGCATATACATAATTAGCCCGGTATATAGCAATTATTCTTTTAATAGTAGTGTTGTTAAACGGCTCGATTCGAGTCGATTTTTAAAAACGGCTAACTCAATATTTTATCCAGAGGGCCTTGGCTTATAGATGGCACAAAGGTCGAGGAGACGTCTATTAGCGAAATCTCGAGGCTAAGGCAATGTTTTTCTGGCGCTAAAATATTGAATTAGATGTATTTAAAGATCAGCTCAAGTTTTTGTTTTGTTTTATGCGTATTATAACAATTATTCAGGAGTTAGTTGTAGCAATATTTGGCACACATTGTTCTCATCTTCCCTTCTTTTTAAGAATTTTGGTAGAAATTATGTCAGCCTCTTAAATTGGTATGAAGGTCATAAGCTTTGACAAATTTTTTTACCTATAGTCATTAGTGATCTGCATGGGGCCTAATTTTTCAAACCCGGCCAGGCCCGAAATTTTCTTTAAAAAAATTTACAGGCCCGGCTCGAATTTATTTAAATATTTAAAACATTATAATTACTCAAAATCAAAGATATATATCATGTGTCTAGTTTCTATAAAATTAAATATTTTTATTTTACATAAAAAATTCAACATAAAATTGATAAATTTAAGATATATTTAAAAATCAAGGCCCAACCCAACCCGACCCGGATTTTTTAAAAATAAATTAGGCCCGACTCGGCCCCAAAATATAGGCCCGGCCGGGTTTAGATTGGGTAAGAGAAGAGAAGAGAAGAGAAGAGAAGAGAAGAAGAGAAGAGAAGAAGAGAGAGAAGAGAAGAGAAGAGAAGAGAAGAGAAGAGAAGAGAAGAGAAGAGAGAGAAGAAGAGAAGAGAGAAGAGAAGAGAAGAGAAAGAGAAGAGAAGAAAGAGACTTTTGCCAATCTCTAATAGTCATACGTTTTCGTGATTTTTTAGAAAAAATGCCTCTTTATTAACTGAAAACACTCTTAGGAACCTTCTCACCCAATTTAGGAATAGATTTTATCAAATTTTCCTGTTCAAGATGCATTTCTAACATTAGAAACCAATTTGATTAAGTAACTTTAATTCACAAATTCGGAGAAAGAATTCCCTAACTTAGATAATACATTTATCATATATTTCATAAAAGCTTATTTTAGCTAAATTATAATGTAACAACTTTTGCCTATTTACCTTGGCTATTTAAAAAAATATTTAAACACTTTATATAGATCAATTTTAAGTTGAGGAAAGATATTAAAATTCTTTTATTTTATAAATTTGAAAAAAAATTTTGGGAAATTTGTAAG